TTTCATAACTTTCAAGTTCAATATCTTCTTTCATCATTTAACGAAAATAATGCAGTTAAATTGAATTTTAAATTCATTGAACATTATTTAATTCAATAAAAAAAATTAACTATAAAATGAGGTAATGTATTTTTGGTGTTTCATCAACAATATCTTTGTCGTAGCTGTCCACTTGGTGTTTTAGAGTGTCTAAGATCAAATGTCCAATTTCGATCTTTCAGGTTTATAATTCAATTTTATTGTACTTTTACTTTTGATATGCTATTATTTCGTTTGTCAAGGAGGGTTTTTTCTGGATGGATTGAGCCATTTTTCGTATTGTACCAAATCCAACAAGTTCGATTTTGCATGACATTTTTTTGTAGTTTGGTCGCTTGGAACTAAAAACTCATTCAAGAAGTCAAATCCTTTGTTCATTGAAGTGAGTATACGAATGCTATTGTTGCAAGATCAGATTTTTCTAGAAAAATTATCAGATTTAATGGGTTTTTTTCTATCTCGTCATTTTTATTTCTCTCCTTAATGGAAATTGCAGGATGGGAAGAGTTAAGTTGAGGATAGAGATCTCGAGATGCTTTAGGGAAGTGATGGAGGGAGAGACGGGGGCTTGAGAGTACAAGCAACATACAAGGTTTTTTATAAGATATGTTTTTGTATTGATAAATTAAAAAAATGGATGGTATAAAGTTTTGGATCTAAGTCTACATCGTAACACAGGGTAATAATCCTGGACAAATAGCCATTACATCGGAAATACATGATTTAAAATATGCTGTTATCTATACTGCATCATTGCACCTCTTTAACTACTGGAAAGTGAATACCAAGTTTGGAGGAGCACAAATGTTTCTTATGTTTTCTCCTAGAAGAAAACCTACGGTTTTCCATGGTGAACACAAGTAATATACACATCCCGAAAATATAGTATTTTAGTAAATCAATGGCGAGTCATGGGTTGTGCTACTCAAAACCTATAGAGAACTAGATTATATTTTAAAATGTTATTTTTACATAAACCCTTTATTGGAACTCTCTTGGAGTGGAATAAAATCCAAATACTGATCAAAACAATCTCATGAAAACATCATAAAACAATCTATTGGAAACATTACAGACGTAAGCAAGACAAACAAAAGGAAATATTCCAGTAATCAAAGAGTCGTTATTACCTTGAAGACAAAGTCAAAGATAAATGGGTTATCCCCAAACTGTAAAAATTTTTCGAGATGTCAACTTTTCGATTGTATCTCTCAGAATCTTCTTTTGTTGATTCTTTGATCTTTCCCTTAGAATAATACTTCTGAAGTTTTTTCCCTCTTTTTCTCGAGTTCCTTTTTTAAACACGAGAAAATGTAAGCTCGAACCTTACAAGGTCTTCGCAATGTAAGCTGGACTGTTGGAATATATAATGGCGTCACACTCAGAGAGTTTTATTTTTCAAACACGTGACGGACATTCGATTAATGAAATTTCTTTCTGCCTTACGGAGCAGTTCAGAATTAATCATTTTTATACAACAAAACTGAGGAAGGGGGTGTTGGTGAATTAACAAGAACAAAACATATGAACTTTAAATAACAATAACCTAAATTTTATATGTATTCTTCAATGGACATTCGAGGTTTGCATGAAACGACACTCTATTACATAAATGTATTATCAGTTCTAATTATTTTATTGTAAAAAATGTTATCATCGATACAAAAATGTGTATGTATTTATTATATTTATTTCTAAATGTATTCATAGATAATATATAGGAACAAAAGTTACGAATTATAAATGCATAATAAGGAATATTACTATAATTATAATTTTAACTATAAAAATCTTATAAGATAATTAATATGTATAATTTTTGTAAGGACGATTAACAAAAATATAATTGATTTAGAATATCTTCAATCATATTACGATATGTTACTAATTATTGTGTTAATATCCGAAAAAATATTTACAAGATAACACTTTGATATTGTAACAACTATTTTTGCATTATTATTATTAATAATAATATTAATGTATTATCTACAAAATTACTATTTAAATGTTTTTAAAACTTAATTATGTCGTACAAAAGGTTACAATATTATTTTCATTACGTACTAATAAAGATATTTTATTTAATAAACATCTTTAATCATTTTTCTCATAACGATATATTTAAATTTGGATATTCAATTGTAATTGGAAATGAGTCTAATGAAAATCATAGAAATTATTAAAGTTTTAATAGGATGCAGAGTCGTCCTAATAAATTTAGAGGCCCTGTACAAAATAATTTTTTATTTTTTTTATAAAAATATTAAATAATTTTTTTAATTATATTAATTGATAAATTAAATGTTAAAACGTCACAAACATAACTCAAAAATTATAAATATTAATGATAATAATTACGAAACTTTATGTTAAATATAATTTTAATTATTTATCATATTTATATTAATAAATATAATTACAAATTATTAGTATTTAAAATTTCTTTTTTAAATGTGGGGCCTATCAAATTGTGGGGTCCCGTGCCCTTACTCCACTTGCACATGCATTTTTACGGCTCTGATAGGATGTAATGTAAAATATCAGTTTGGTTGGGTAAAGGTCTTCTAGATATCAACAGGTTTTTGTTTCGAAGATTTTTCAGAAACTTATCAAATCGGGTCTTGAAATGTATACTCCGAATGAAATATCATATAGAAGGAGTCCTCTTAGAGTCTGTTTGGGTCTGATTAGTGATGATTTATTTGGAACTTTAGCTCCTACCATCCAAAACAAACCGTCTAATTTTATCGAAAGATTTTTATTTGGATTTCATGTATTTCGAAATTCAAAAATTATCATTAAAGACTACATTTATGAAGTGAATGTCGAAAAACGTTGAAACCAAAACATCAATAAAAGAATATAATTTAATCATTTTATAATCGTTCGTAAATTTGAAAAGTATAAAAAATTGGATGAAAAAACGGTATACATAATTGATTTATGATATCGGATAAACCTTTATTGATCGGTTTAGCTTTCATATTCATTTGCTTTACGGGAATTACAAATAAATGGTCTAATCTTAAATTATATTGTAGTCAATAATTTTCGTACAAAAGATTCGAGTATTCGAATTTATCGGACTATATAATTTATATTAATATCTAAATATGTTTGTCAATTTCATTTTATCTTTCTTCAGTTGGCTGTCAAATTAATATAATCTATAAAAAAATATAAAGATAATTCATATTTCCAAATAAAATTATTTCAAATAGTTATTTTTATCTAATATAATATCAATAATATAAGTGTTATTTATTATTTGCAGAATCAAAACCTTTCTTTTTTTCAAAAAAAACTAAGATTACACAAAATATTAAAATATTAATAAAAATATATTAACTTAAAATATCAAATAAATAGATAAATTTCACTATAACTATTAACATTTTGATTTTTAACAAATATCGTCAATATATGATAAATAATTTTTTTAATAATATTTGTGTTAACTCTTATAAATTTAAAATTTGGTCTAACAAAAACTATAAAAACTATAAAGATTTTAATAAGATATAATGTAAAATATCAGTTTAGTTAGGTAAAGGTCTCTGTCGTGTCGTTGGAATTTTATTTTGAATATTTTTAGATGTTTATCGAATCGGGTGTTAAAGTGTATATTATGAGTGAAAAGTAATTTGGGACGAATACAGAGTTTGTCTGGATCTGGTAAATGATGTTTTATTTAAAACATCAACTACTATCATGGATGATTTACAAGACGATAATAGATCTTGCACATCCAAGCAATTAATTTAATTCCTCCATCGCGTAAACGAAGATCTTAAAACGTATCGTGGATGATCAAATTAACTAAATTGAGATGATAAGAATAATAAAAAACAAATTTAATAAAAAATACAAGTCTAACTAAATGAGACTCCAACTCAGATTTCTTTAAAATAAAAATGGATTGATTTTATATAGATTATTGAATTAATATTATTATGAATAAAATATTCATAGCATACAAAAATGGCATAATCTTAGTTTTAATTTATTAAGAATCAAACTTATCAAATCTTAGTTTGTAAAAAAATATAATGAAATAGTCACATGATTAGTGTTCTATTTTATTAATTTGGTATAATTAAATATATCTATAAAATTTAAATACAAATGAGATTATATATTTAATAGTATATCAATGTTTTATTGTGAAATATTTATTAATCTAAATATATTATTATTAGATTTCAAACATCAATCAAATTTTTATTATTATTTAAAATTCTATTTATCAAATTAATCATATTTTTTATATACTCCTGAGATTGTGTCAAAAGTGAAAGTTTTTCATCAGAGTAAGACAATTTTAAAAAATATTATTTCGATTTTCTATATTGCAATCCCTAATTCTCTATTATAACCCACAAAAATATAAATACAAAATTATTTATGATCTCTATTAGAAAAAAATACAACATCATATTATATTGATATTTAAAAATATTCTCATTAAAAATATAAATTATAAAATAAAAAACAAAAATATTCTATATTTAAATTTAAAACTAATAATAATTTTTTTTATCAAAATTTATACGTATTTTTTAATCCGCGCGATGCGCGCGGATCGGGTTATTATCTAGTACATAAGAAAATGATCGTATGATCAAATTCAATATCTACCCAAAAAAAATCATCACACACTAATCATACAAAAAAGGACATAACTTTTGTCTTTTACTCGTGGAATGCTGGAATTCCCGTAGCGATATCTTCATTAGCATATCCTGCCATAATCTCAGACAAATCTCCATTTTTTTATTACATTTTGTCGTTTTGTGCTGGTCTTCGTCGACTGCGTGCCGTTCATTGCATGAGCAAACGTTACGGTTTGGTTCAAAAACGTCAAGCATTTTGTTATCGCCAAAGCGAACCATTAACTTCGGGCCATTGAGTAACTTGTGGGCTTTAGTTCTGATCTTAGTGAAAACAAGGCGGTGAAATCCACGGGCCTTGGTCGCGCGTGGTGGTTTTTTTTTTGCGCATTTGATTGCTTTGTGTTTTGAGAAGATGGCGCGAAACTGGGATTTTCCTTGAGGCCTTCAACGAATGGCCGTTAACAGGATCAGAGAATTGGAAGATCTCTTCGTACCTCTTCTGCAGCAATGCGAAACCCTAGCGGATGTGAAGAAAATCCATGGCTGCATCATCAAGCATCGACTTTCTCAGAGCAACTTCCTCGTGACGAAGATGGTTGACGCGTGTGATAAAGCAGGGGCTATGGCCTACGCGAATCGTCTGTTCAAAGGAGTTATAGATCCTAATGTATTTTTATACAATTCGATCATTCGGGCTTATACCCATCACTCGATGTACAACGATGCTGTCGGTGTCTACAAGCTAATGCTGAAAAACCCAGAATCAGAGAATCCTGTAGTTCCGGACAGATTCACTTTTCCGTTCGTGATTAAATCTTGCGCAGGGCTTGGATTTTATGAACTGGGTAAACAAGTTCATGGGCATCTCTTCAAGTTCCGGCCGAAATTCCATGTTGTGACGAAGAATGCGCTGATAGATATGTACACGAAGTTTGATGATGTAGTCAACGCACATAGAGTGTTCGACGAAATGTATGAGAGAGATGTTATCTCGTGGAACAGTCTTGTTTCTGGGTATGCCCGGCTTGGACAGATGAGGAAAGCAAGAGCATTGTTCTGTACGATGCCAGATAAGACTATTGTTTCTTGGACAGCCATGATCTCAGGGTACACAAAAATAGGGTCTTATGTAGATGCAGTGGATATTTTCCGCCAGATGCAGATAGCGGGTATTGGGCCTGATGAGATCAGTGTAATCTCTGTTTTGCCGTCATGTGCCCATCTCGGAGCTCTAGAGCTTGGGAAATGGATCCATAGGTATTCAGAGAGAAAAGGGTTTCTGAAACAAACCGGTGTTTGCAATGCCCTTATTGAAATGTACTCCAAATGTGGTGTGATCAGCCAAGCAATCCAGTTGTTCGATCAGATGCATGAAAAGGATGTTATTTCCTGGAGTACGATGATTTCAGGGTTTGCAAATCATGGAAATGCCTGTGAAGCTATTGAAACATTCCGGGAAATGCAGAGGACTAACGTAACGCCTAATGGGATCACATTTCTTGGCCTTTTATCTGCTTGTGCACACGCAGGTCTATGGAAAGAAGGGTTGAGATATTTTAAAATGATGAGACAGGACTATAAGATAGGACCAGTGGTCGAGCATTACGGGTGTTTGGTTGATGTTTTGGCGCGGGCAGGACAAATGGGTCGAGCTCTTGAAATAGCTCGGACAATGCCGATGAATCCTGACTCAAAGATTTGGGGTTCGCTCCTGAGTGCTTGCAGGACACATGGAAATCTGGAGGTTGCCCTGATTGCAATGGATCATCTTCTCGAGCTAGAACCGGATGATACAGGTAATTACGTGCTGCTTTCAAATATCTATGCAGATCTCGGGATGTGGGAGGGCGTTTCGGGAATAAGGAAGCTCATTAGGAGCAAGAGTATGAAGAAAATGCCGGGGTGTAGCTTGATAGAGGTGAACAATGTGGTTGAAGAGTTTGTTGCTAGAGATCATAATAAACCCTACTGGAGAGAGATCTGTTTTGTGTTAGAGATGTTTTCTATGCACCAGAATGTAATAAAAAATGGAGATTTGTCTGAGATTATGGCAGGATATGGCAATGAAGATCTTGATCATGGAATTCCAGCATTCCATGAGTAAAAGTTATGTCCTTTTTGTATCATTACTGTTTGATGATTTTTTTGGGTAGTTATTGAATTTGATCCATAGGGTAATTTTCTTATATATAGTATATATATACACATCCGAGCATCCCACGGAAAGAGAATAAAATGTGTATATATTTTGACGACATTAAAAGGTATATATATTTTTTTATGTTAAATATATCTGCAAAACTACAAAAATATACTAAAAAAATAAAAACCTTACAATTGTCAGAAGTGGGATTTGAACCCACGCCCTCTAACGAGGACCAGAACTTGAGTCTGGCGCCTTAGACCACTCGGCCATCCTGACTTGCTTGCTTGATTAAAAAAGTTTTAATAGCATGTATCCCTCCAAATTTTTTGCGAATAAATAGAACATTCATTTAAATTTGTTTAAGCCCACTATACATATATATATATATATGAACAAACGACCCTTCATTGGCCCTTAATCCTTAATCACTTCTAAATATATTTATTACTACTTGTTACGAAATGGTTTGATAACATATGTATTGCATATTATTGTTGGTTGATGGTAGACTGAACTTATTTATGCATATTCGCTTTCTGAAAACAGTCTCTTGCGAAAATATATTACACCAAAGTGCACATCCTTGTATTAGGACCTTTTTTTTCCGACATTCATTCGTTTTGTGCACCGAAGTGTCCATCTCGTTTCATCCCAAATAAACATCCTTTGCTTACGATGCATCATCATCATCATCCTTATCATCATCATAGGGCCTTTGATCAAACGCTGCTCTATCCTCGGCCAGATCAGGGCAATACCTGTCGGCCAAAATCTCAACTTGGTCGGAGAATGATTTGGAACCAGGCACGCCAATGTGCAGAACCATCTGGTTCCATCTCTTCCTGCATAGCTCGCCTGTTCGGTTTTCCAAAAGGCTATCCCAATCGACATCTTCCATACAGGCAGCGTCAAGTTTCATGAGCTCATCCAATAGAAGATAATCATCTGAATTATCCCATATTCCCTCCGCCACCATTGGAGATGTAAGTTGCCTGTACCATTTTATACAGCAATTCGAATGCGTCCTAGTTCCAAGCTGCTCGCTTATCGCCGTCCACGGGATATTGTCCCGAAGCATCCCGTGTTTCGAGTTCTTCTCCTGTAGTGCTTTTGTCCTGAGATCCATGTTCACCAGATCAAACAGGGTTTGGTATTCCTCTCGAGACCATCGGATTTTGTTCATGTTCGGGAATTTGATTCTCCTCCATGCGTCTTTCACGTGCCACCTGTGTTTTCCCATTACTTCAGCGAGCGTTTTCCAGTCCGACCCATGTTTCTCTGCAAAGTTTTTGACGAGTTCCAACTGTTCCGGAGTCCATGATCTCTTGGGATCTCCTTCAAACAGGATATGAGCTCGGTAATATACGCTTGACCGTGTCCTCCAAGGTAATGCAGCTGCTATTTCTTTCCAACAGTTTTTAACTTTTGGGATTGACTTGCATTTCATAACCATGTTTAAACCTTCTTCTCCTAACCCATGGTTATCTATGTATTCTTGAACAGCTGCCTTAACCAACTCGTCTTCTTCTTTTGAGAACCGTTTGCCCATCATCAACTCAACATTTCCTTCATCTTCTTTGAATTCATCCTCAGACACTCCGCCGTCAGATAATGGAAACATATCCACTTGATCAGAAAATGTCACCCTTTTGGCGCTTTTACTTGATGACGGAGTTTCAGGCTCTGCGTTCTTAGTTTGCTCCTGCTTTTTCTTCTTTTTCTTCTTTGCGCTCCTCTCAGTTTCCACGGTGTTACTTTCAGCCCCTGACTCGTCATTATGTTTCTTCTTGCGTTTCTTTTTCACCTCCTTGTCGGAATTCACTGAGCTATGGTCAGCTCTCGGATCGCAATTCCGCTTTTTCTCTCTCTTTTTCCTGCTGGTGTCACCACTACAACCATCAATGTTTTCCATAGGCATATCATCCCTTTTTTCTCCTTCACTAGTCTTATCTCTTTTGGAGCTTTCACTTGCCTCGATATCACTGACTTTATTCTTGTCTTTTTTCTTCTTCTTCTTTCTCTTGCTACTATCCTCACTGACTTTATTCTTGTCCTTTTTCTTCTTCTTCTTTCTCTTGCTACTATCCTCACTGATTTTATTCTTGTCATTTTTCTTCTTCCTTTTCTTGCTGCAGTCCTCTGTTGAATTCTTGTCTTTTTCCGTACATGTACCATCCGTTTCCACCAAACCTTCTTCACCAATAGGAGTAGTTTCAACCATCCCACGAACTTCATCGCCAATTTCAACCTTGTGTGTTTTCTTCTTCTTCTTCGTCTTCTTAACGCTTAGGGAACCGTCACAGCCACTATCATCAAGTTCTGCTTTTCGCTTCTTCTCCTCCTTCGCACTTGAATACATCAGAAAACAAAACTAGGGTTATAGCATAACATAACAAGCGATATCTATCTTCTATCGTAGCCATTACCAAACATGAGATGTTGACATCTGAATTCAGAAACTAAGAGAACCCAATTCAGAACTAGATACCTTTCTTCGCCGGCTCCCTCCATTTTATATCTGTGAAATAGATGGAAATCAAGTCGGTTCACACAAGAGAGACATAAGATTTCTGAAATGAAAGTACATTCCAATATCTACTGTAAAACTCGGCAGCGAGAGGAAGCACATTCCAATATCTCTAATTCGATTAAAAAACAAAACTGGAACTTGCTTCGTCCTCCACTAATCCAAGCATTTACTGGACACCTAATGTTCCCGACAAAAATCGAACACTAAAAATTCTCGAGAACTCACACATCATCCATCACCAAACCTCTCATTGGGGCATTTTGTCGAGCAAGTGATAACACAGACAATGTTTAGATATTTTAGTGATTGTATATCGAATCTGAAGAACAACGTTGGTAGTAAACTTCGGCACGATAACAACATGGATCAAATAGAAAAGGAAAGCAAAACTAGAACCCAACAGAAATCTACTCCTAAAGCATGATTCAATAGACACTTAGGATCGATTAAGCAAACTGCAGACAATAATTTCAGAAAAGCTTAAACCTTCGTGATTAAACTAATCCAATATCAAGCCAAATCGAAACCCAGAAACCAATTGAAGAGATCATGCGAGGAAAATAAAGAACGAGGCAAGACAATAACGATCTCGAGACGTGCCTGAAATTTGCGAGTTTCGATGGCAGCGACGAAAGGCGCCGCGTCTGTTCTAAGTAGGGTTTATCGAGAGGAACAAAATAGCAAACAGAGCGCGGATTGCGACGGCGAGTAAAGATTCCTGCGAGTTCGACGAGCAGAGAGGGCGGAGAGGAGATAGAGGGAAACACAGAGAACAGGAACCGACCGAACTGTAAGAGACGAGATTAGGTTCTATAAAGTAGGTTGAGTACTTGAGGTTTTAGAAACAATACCATTTTAATTTCGGAGAAACAATTGTTTTAAATTAATAAAAAAACCTTAAACTATATCTTAAAAAACCTAACACTTTAAATTCATTATAAAAATTAAGGGTGACCAATTCGGGTTTCGGTTCGGTTATATTCGGATTCGGTTATTTCGATTATAGAAAAACTATAACTATTTGGTTTTTATATAAATTCCGGTTCGGTTCGGTTATTTCGATTATAGAAAAACTATAATCATTTAGTTTTTATATAAATTCCGGTTCGGTTCGGTTCGGTTATTTTTCGGTTCGGGTTCGGTTCGGTTTTGATAAAAAGTTCAATTTTCCAAAGAAATTGTCAGTTATTCTATCGGTTTTTTCGGTTATTTTTTATTCGTTTCGATTCGATTTCGGTTTCGGTTTTTCGGATTTAAGAAAATCATAACCGTTCGGTTTTGATGTCGGGTTCGGTTCGGATACGGTTATATCTTATTCGATTCGGTTCGGCTCAGTTATTCGGTTAATAACCGAAATGGCGATCCCTAATAAAAATGACCAACTAATAATTTAGAGAAAAAATCCATTAACCATATAACTTGTTTAATTTTTTATAAATAATCATCAATTATTATTTTTAACGTTTATATATTTTTTGAAAACGTTAAAATTCCTCAAAATTGTAAGTCGATAAGTCTTTTAAAAAAGAAAAAAAATGTATCTATTCCATGTATTTGTATAGAATTTTCTTGATTTCTTTCTTTTTCGGTTATTTTAGAAATATAGCATTGCTAATGAGGCCCATAAAACAATCCAAATGGCCCATAAGGCCCATAAAACCCGATCGAATTCGTCATTTCATTTCATGTATGCGTCTGAGACAGCGAGCGGAGCTATCAGTCGAGCAAAAAAACGGACAGGCGAAGAACATATTTGATCAGGACGACAAGGAGAAATGGCGATTAGGGTTTTGAGTTCGCGCTTCTTGATCATAAACCCTAAGTCTAATCGGTTTCTCTGCACTGACGCCACCTCCTCCTCTTCTTCTTCCACCACAGTTCTTCCTCCTCTGGTGAAGAGGTTGCTTCAGATTCCAGAATGGAAGATCAAAACCACGCTTGATTCAGATTCTCATGAGTCGCTCCTCGAAAGCGGAGAATCTATTTGGGACACTGTCATCGTTTCTCTCAGTTCGTCTTCTCCGGACAAGGCTCGGCTGGTAATTAATTTCCCTCTCTCGTATTTTCCCCCGCTCCTTCCTCTGTTTGGCTTCCGAGAAAGTCAGTGCGGAGTTTACTTCACGTGTTGAGAAACCGGTATCGATAGCGAGATAGTGAATTCGATTTGATAATTAATCTCTCTTCGTTAATCTAAGAAGTCTTACTATCCATGGTTTCTCGCAGGTTCTGGAATGGAGATTGGAGAAAATGTTGAAGACAAAAGAGAGGGATCATGAGAGATACTCTAATCTCATCTCTCTTTGCGGGAGAATCCAAAATGTTCCTCTTGCAATGCAAGTGTTCTCCTCCATGGAAGCACAGGGAGTAAGACCTGTGGCTCTGGTCTTCAATTCTTTGATACATACTTGTTTGTGCTCCAACAATGCCCTAGCGGCATTTAGCTTGTTCGAATTAATGGAGAACTCTCATTCCTTCAAACCAAATGCAGAAACCTATGATGCTTTCATCTCGGGTTTCGCCAAGTTGAATAATTCTGATGCTGCACAAAGATGGTTTACTGCTAAAAAGGATGCTGGGTTTCCGGGTACTCTTGAAAACTTTGAAAATCTGATGCGTGTCTGTGTCAAATCCAGGGATTTTGATGGCACTGACAGATTCTACGAGGAAATGACTTCTGTAGGAATAATGCCGAACGACACTGTGCTTAAAACCATGTTTGAAGCTCTCTGCGAGCAGAGGAACTTTGTCCGAGTCAAGGAACTTGTAAAGAATTTGCTCGATCTTGGATATGAAATCAACATAGATTTGGCCAAGACGCTTGTCGGATTTCTCTCCAGCTGTCAGAATGAGGCAGAACTCGAAGATCTGCTTGTTACTCTGGAAGAACGGAGACAGACGGATCCAGAAGTGCTGTCTTGCGTGCACCATGGAATCATAACGACATATGCAAGTTTAGATCGCTTAGACGACATTGAATATTCGGTTGGGAGAATGCTGAAACGAGGGTTCCCATTCAAGATCGCAAGCGATGTTGAGAAAGTGATATCTGCGTATTTCAGGGGCGAAGCATATGATAGGCTAGACTTGTTTCTGGATCGAATCAAGGGTAGTTATTGCCTTACAAGATCCACTTATGATCTGTTGATCGCAGGGTATAGAAGAGCTCGCTTGCCCGAGAAGATCGATACCATGATCAAGGAGATGGAACCAGAGTGAAATATTGTAGCTTTTTCAGCAGTAGAAAGAGAAGCTGCAATTCAGACAGCTCAATGGAACTGCTTTATCAGCATTAGTTGAATAACAAATGGTATACAAAGTAACTCGGAAAAACCTTCACATGGACCGAAGCAACGAGAAAGGTATTGCAAAAATATATTGTGATTCCGAATTGGGTTGACTCGAAATCCTGGTTTTATTACAAAGTGAGAACTGGGATATGTTGTTTTTACTTTGAATTGATATAGGTCTGGAACTACTGTTATCTCTTATGACTGTCCTCTTGTTTGTTTGTCGGTATTAACAGTTTCAGCCATTGCTTCCAAGCGGCATTCTCTTGTTGCTCGAGCCATGAGAGGAAACAGCTATCCAACAAGCAGAAGAAGTTCACATAAAGAAGCTGATACCTCACGGGAACATACCGGAAATTCACAATCTGGATGGCAGGCCATACACCGCGAAAAAAGAACGGAAAAAAAGTCAGCTAATAAAACGATGTTATTCCTGAGTGGTTCCAAATTCTTCTTCTCCGTGATCGAGAGAGAAAGGGAAACCCTAGATTTGCTCTCCGTTCGATTTGGTTCCTTCTCGAACCGCAACGATGGTGTTCTACTTCAAGGCCCGACCGGAGGCCGGTGACTACACCATCTTCATGGGTCTTGACAAGTACGAGAACGAGGAACTCATCAAATATGGCTTCCCTGAAGACATCTGGTAATTTTTTTGCCCTAGGATCCTGAATTTTGGACGTTCTTATATCTTTGTTTCCGATTTCGTCCCTGGATTCCTGTTTTTGTATAATTGAACTTTCAGTTGTCTGATTTTGTCGAATCTCAGAGGTTTTGTTCAGCGATTTAGGGGAAAATATTATTTTTCTCGCAGAGAGGTTTCTTTGCTCTTCCCTGTGGTGAATCCCATGTAGGAAAGAAACACGAGCAAATCCAGCGGCCCGAAAATGAATCCGTCTAGCGCAACTTTTGCAGCGACGAACTTGAAGGATTTTGGCTGGAGTCGGAGCCGAGTCTTTATCACTCGGTCCAAACCTTCGTACCTGAACACAGATTTAAGGTACTGACCGAATGAGTTACCATCTCGTTAACCGATATGAAACGGTCTCAGTTTTCCGTATACAGAATGGATTGAGAGATTAGAGATTCTGATTAGATCATCACAACTTACCAGAAATGCCCAAAAGGTCCGACGAATCCGAGACCGTACAAGCTCGCAGCTGCGACTCTTCTCCAGTTGAGCTTCTTCGACTCATTTCTCTCGTCCTGGTTTCTCAATAAAGCCGGAGAATCCGCTTGTCTTGTAAGAACAACAGCTTCGTAACCTCGTGTCAAGTCCAAGATATGCCCACAAAACTCTAGTTTGGCTAGTTTTTCTCTTCTTTTGGGGACCAATTTGATTAACAGCCGAAACGATTTAAAACGAATGATACATAATTGTAATCATCGAATCTCATATAAAAACTAATTAGTTACGGCTTTCGTAAAACCAAAAAAAAAAATTGATCTAAATCAAATCGAATTGAATAAATATTTTTATCAATAAAATCTGAAATCGAAACGTAAAGAGAAATAGAATCAAATTAAATCGAATTAAATATAAAAAATGGATTGATATAATTTTTAAAACGAAATAACTGAATCCAACCGGAACCATGTCTAATTATTAAATGCTTTTCTTGTTTTTTTTTTCGGTTTTTGTTCTCGATTTTCTTCTAGGGACATTTTAAATGAAGAACGCGAAAAAGAAGATCCAATTGTTTCTACCTCATCTTGACGAAGATGTTTCTTCCCTGTTCTTTGAGTGATCGTCTGTGCAAGTATGTCGCCGGAGCCCCAAATCACTCCGGAGCTAATCACCTGCGTCTTCACCGGATGTATCGCCAAACAATTCTGATACCATTTCCACATTCTCATCATCTTTTTTTTCCTCGATCGCTCAAATTCTCTCCGAGCGAATAAGTTTCGGGAGATCAATTCTGACGATGATCTTCGACGGACAATCGTATCGATGCCAAGGGAATCTCTACAGTACCTCGAAATTCGTACGCTGACGGCAATGTATTTGAGGATGACGGACGGATAGATCGGACCTTGTTGTTCGATTGCTTGCTCTTGGAGATTGATATTCTCGGGAAAATCTAGTGTTTTCCCGCAAAATAAGCTTCGGCGGAGAATTAATTCTTCGTATGGGGAAGGAAACTGCGCACTGAGACTGAGAGGCGAAAATGGGATCTCTCTTTTGCTGGTTTGAAATTGATTTCGTGACGCCGGGAAATAAGCTTTCGCACGCCGTCCACGTTTCCTTTGACGAACGCCGTGACGTTACGACTTGGCAAACCGGCACGCTGTTTATTTATGGAACACGTAAACAGTGCCCGTTTCATTACGCACATTTATTCCAACCATATAGAGAACCAACAAACAACATGCCGTTTGTATCGAAGAAGAGCGTGCTGACTGTATCATGCACCATAACGACGCGCTGGTGGGTAATATTTTGAGAAAACAGCACGCTTTGTTGGGAAACTCTATAGTCTATTGGGCCTTTTCAAGTAGATGGACCGCCGTTTGCTGTTTCCATCGTGAAACATCGTGGCGTTTGTTGCAATAGCAAACGAGACAGCGTAAAGAACGATTCAAACATGTAAAGTGTAAACTAAAGGGGCTCCAGATCAATTTAGCAGCCAGCTTGTACAGTTTTGTCTGAACTGAAGGACAAAACCAGCTTCACCCAGTTGTCTTCTATGTCCATGGCAGATTCGACTCTCTTCTTCTGATAGTGTTAATCCCATGAAAGATCTTTGTCGTGTACATTCAAAAGGATTGATTACAGTGTAGTTCTTGTCAGTGGGCATTCAATTCCTCTTAAATAAGTTCCAATGACGAGGATCTACATTCTGCAGAAGAATTAGTGCTTGCAAGAAGCGGGTTTAGTGCCCCCATTCATCAATTCCACACGTTCTTGAGATAATATCTAAAAGACAGTAAATATGTACCTGGCCTGGCCATAAGGTTTCAATTCAACATTCCCACCATCATCTTCTGTGGGGTTTTTTCACCTTTTGATCTGTAGGTTCGGATGGAAACCTGCTGAGAAGCCATACTAAGACAACGCCTACAAGAGCGCCAGAGAGATGCGCAATGTGATTCACGGTCTGCAGAGAGTAGCCTCCGTATACAGTTCCTGATACTCCAGCTGAAGCCTGAGCCGCTTCCATTACCTATGAGAATCATATAACACGACAAAATTATCATCTAAGGAATATGTCTAGAGAGCTTCTCTCACTCCATGATGTTTTCCCCCATGTATTCCATCCATGATGAAGACCAAATGCCCAGAGAATATTTGCTGAGAATGGAATGGCATTTAATCATAAACATGACATGTGTGGATGAATGTTAACAATTCTTACCCTCTCTACAACAAATTGACCCAATATAAGCACTTCGAGTATCTTCCTCCAGTCCCAAGACATCTGCAATAAAGTATTACACGAAGAAGATTTGAAGAATGTCTGCTGATTGATTTACAAAGAGATGGGACAATGGGAGAACGCAAATCTGCTACCTTAACAAGGACACTGATTGCAAATAAGCCGAAAACAGCACCCGAGGCTCCAATAGAAACTGCATTTCTCGGTAGAACTAACCAAGAAACCAGGTTTGCTCCAACGCCAGTGAACAAGTAAGAGAGCCACAAACCTAAGTTTCCTTCTTCTTCTTCAACGAGCTTACCTAGTTAAAGCACAGGAAAAGACCCACTCTCCATCAGTACTGAGTTCATAATTATCCATCAATATTCTCCGTTGACATGAAAAGTTATAATCCTCACCAAAGATGTACAGGAAGAAAAGATTGCTCGAGAGATGATTCCTGGAAAATTCAAAGACAGAGCAATGAGACAAGGTGGATTTAAAAAAAAAACAGGCTGATCGGCCCTAGAAGCATAGACTCTCACCAGTTAGCATGGCAGAAAGTTGCTGTCACAAACTGGTACCAGGCCGGCCAATTGTGATATAAGTACAGAGATTTGATGATGCGAACCTACTCAATGGAAATGAAATGCACAAGAAATTGGTAATTACAATATGCTTGACGTTCTTCTTCTAAACAAAAAGTCAGTCCAAGCATCACTTTCTAAACACATGCTACAACAACAACCCGGGTACCCAAAAAACACATTTTCAGAAGATCAAACAAAAACCCACTAAAGCTTCTGACATTCTGCTGTATGGTAAGTTTAGGAGAAGAGTCTCAAAACCCAAAGGTCCCAAACACAGTACACATTCTAGCCTCCCCATCTTTCTTGAGTCAATTTTAGTGTCTTCTGCATAGAGAGAAGGATACAATACAGTGATGCTAATACCTGAAACAAATGGTCTGCTACATATATGCCAAGATTAAGAAGTATGATCCAAAATATGCCGCTGACCCGCTTCTGCGGTTTCTGTCTATCCTCCGGTTTACCGAGCTCCAATTGTGGTGTAATATCTATAAAATACACCACGGTTACCAGAATGTTTGCACGGGCAATAGGCCAATTCTCACTCGATAACATAGAGGATTGAATTTGATTACTAAGGCAGAGCCGAAACTAAAAATCTCGTCTGTATACTGAAAACTTGGAGAAAAACACAAAAAATATTATCACTGTAGTCAGTAAACTGGATATTGAAATTCACAATGGAACTCAAAAACCCCAAAAGACGATAGCTGAAGCTTGATTACAGAACAAGATGCAGACGGTAAAATGGCTAACCCTGTGTTCTCCCATTTAACAAATTTTAGTAATTTACTCCATGGCTAAAGATGAACACGATCTGATTGTAAGAACTCAGAGCAGAACTCAACCGACAACATCAACAACGATCAAAACTCGAGCTAACAACATTCAGAACTATGAAAGGATTCATAAAAATACCGAATTTTAGAGTTCTCACCGGATCCGCTGAGCCTGCAAATGGTCCTCCGACACCTGGCGACGGCGGGACCGCGAAACACGGAGTTGGGCACTACACTGCGAGAGAGCCGACAGCTACTCACCGGTCTCGCCGGAGGTACGTCTACCCGACGGCGGCGGAAAGAAGGAAGAGGCCGGAGACTATAGCATCTGCCGAGAGAAGATTCGGGAGGAGAAAGATGGTGGAGATGAAGTTGCGACATTGGGGAAATTATGCGGAGCAGAGATGAAATTACATTGTTTATCGTCTGTGTTCATCACAACCTTCTCGACGTTTCAGAGGTTTCAAGCTTATTTTGTTCTTTGTGCCCATTACTCCTTCTACCTTTTATTTTTTGACCCGTAGTTTTCAATTGTTAATATTAGCCCTTACTCTTAATGTCGGAAAAAAAAATTGTACTAATCCATTCAAAATAAGATACCCAATAAATATAATTCCACTTATAAATTGAGATATTTATAATTGATATTGGTAGAGCAGTAACCGGTTTATCTGTTGGTATCTCTTATATAGTTTTATACACATGACTTATAACATAAATTGGCATATTACACCTAGAATACTCTATTATCTAGATAACTAAAAAAATAAAAATCTAAAAAGTTTAAAAATAAAAACATAAAACCTGATATGTATTGTTGAAGAGAATATAATTCATTTCTTTTAAATTTAAGTAAATATGAATAAACATACTATTTTTTATTTAATTTTTCTACTATCATTCTATTTATTTTATAACGATTGGGATTAGAATATAAAAACAAATGAAAATTGTATGAAGTGATATAACGATAAAACTCCTCAATTACTATCTTATCTATCTATTCTATTTTAAAGAAATTGTAGGCAAAATCGGTGAATAAGTAAAAAGGAAAGGGCGGTTTTGGAATACCACTTTTACAAGAAAAAAGAACGGAAAAAAAGTCAGCTAATAAAACGATGTTATTCCTGAGTGGTTCCAAATTCTTCTTCTCCGTGATCGAGAGAGAAAGGGAAACCCTAGATTTGCTCTCCGTTCGATTTGGTTCCTTCTCGAACCGCAACGATGGTGTTCTACTTCAAGGCCCGACCGGAGGCCGGTGACTACACCATCTTCATGGGTCTTGACAAGTACGAGAACGAGGAACTCATCAAATATGGCTTCCCTGAAGACATCTGGTAATTTTTTTGCCCTAGGATCCTGAATTTTGGACGTTCTTATATCTTTGTTTCCGATTTCGTCCCTGGATTCCTGTTTTTGTATAATTGAACTTTCAGTTGTCTGATTTTGTCGAATCTCAGAGGTTTTGTTCAGCGATTTAGGGGAAAATATTATTTTTCTCGCAGAGAGGTTTCTTTGGTTCCTGATATTCTGTCGGGGTTCTGAGACGAATTGGAATGAATGGGGAAGAAAATTATCTGATTGCTGAGAGATGTAAAAGAAACGACAGAGTTGTGGCTTTCTTTTGTTTGAAGCCACCTTCTTTTATTGTCCTGTTTCGAATCCTTTGTAGGATCTTTTTTTGTTTCTGGTGACATATTGCCTTTAGTCTTCTTCTATCGAGTAATGGGGTTTTCGTAGAAGTGGGGATCTTTTTGTACGTAATGTGGTGTTGGTGAAGAGACCATTTTGCTTTGATTTCTATCCGCTTTAGTTGCTAAAAAATTGGGAACGAAGAGATATGTCGGTTTCCTTATCTTCAGGCCCTGGTGTTTGGAAACATTGCCATCTCTAATGCAGTTCAGAGTCATTTGCTGAGATATAATTTAGGTTTACTTATTTGTAATTATATAGTTTTCAGCAATGCTCAAAAACCTTGACATTTTGGTGGCAGCAAGCAGATATCCAGTTATAATATAGAAATGATAAGTCTTTTTTCTGTATGACATATGGATACTTTTTGAGCGTTGAACTCGATTCTTCCGAAGTAACGTTTTATTCATTATGTTCTTTTGCCTGCTTCTGCCTTATCTACAATTTTGAAGTTTTGAGATCTGTAGAAAACATACAGGACATTACCTTCTAGTATCAAAATTTTCATTTTTCAAGTGATCTGTAGGAGTTTCGAGACTTTTACATTGGTAATAGGCTGATGTGCATTTGTTGTAGGTTCCATGTGGACAAGATGTCGTCTGCTCATGTTTACGTAAGGCTTCACAAAGGTCAGACTATTGATGACATCAGTGAAGGTGTACTTGAGGATTGTGCTCAGCTTGTGAAAGCTAACTCCATCCAAGGCAAATTCCGAAGACCCTTTTTTTATCTTTTTTTTTCCCCTGGAACTTGGATTTTAGAAGTGATCATTCGTAGACTAATCTGCTTTTACCGTTCAAATGTGTTTCAGTTTCTTGGTTTTGTTTAGAGAAGTTCAGTTAGCAGCTATTTCTCACGGTACTCGTGTTTGGGATTATGTGCCAGGTAACAAGGTGAACAATGTCGATGTTGTTTACACTCCGTGGGCCAACTTGAAGAAAACGGCCTCCATGGATGTTGGCCAAGTTGGTTTCCACAATTCAAAGATGGTGACTTCTTGTTTCTCATGAAATTTATCTTGTGTAGTTATACATGATAATGTTTGAACCTACCTGGTGTTATGAATCAATAGATACCTATCTCGATTTTTGGTTTTTGCAGGTCCGGACAACCAGAGTGGAGAAGCGGATCAATGAAATAGTTAACAGGTTGAACAAAACTAAAGTTGAAAGGAAGCCTGATTTGAAAGGTAGTTGGGCATGGAGTTTCTTCCTTGTGCACCAAATTCTGGAAAGAAAAAATGTTTTGAGTAATGTAACTTGCACATGAAATATCAGGGTTGATCTTTTCATATCTGATAACTAATGTTTTCTTCTTAATTATGCTGATGAAGCTGAGAGAGAGGCAGTGAATGCTGCAGAGAGGGCTGAGAGGAAACAACATCTGAGAGAGAAGGTCGGGATTTTTTTTACATTGCTCCTTCAGATCTCTCATCCCTACTGGCCAATGAAAATTCTTTCTTGGATTTTATCGGGAACGCTTATGTTTAGTTAGAGGAATCATGTTTCTTATCTGCAGAAAAAGCGTGAAGACATGGATAGGCTTGAGAAGGAGAGGCAGGCCGAGATAAGGAGTTACAAAGGGTTGATGGTATCGGAGAAAATGACATCAAACAAAGACATTGCTTCAAGCAACAAATCGCTTCAAGAACTCGAAGAAGACTTCATGTAAGGGGAAGGAGCGAAGAAAAAAAAAGCAAGAGAGAACAAAAAAGACGACCCGTCATTGACGTTTTACCAGAGGTTAGTTATCATCCAAGCTATTGCCTTTCAAAGAAGGGGTGTTGTTCTCTTGCTTAAATTAATATGATTGCCCGGTTTGATGTTTGTTTCATAGTGTTTAAGACAAAACCCTAATCTGGTATTAGGGATTCCGGCCATGGAAATGTTTCATATGATTAAATCTTGTGGGAAAAAAAGGAGCGTGAATATAAACATAAGCTCGCCAGTGATTTGGTGCTTGGTGTTCGTGGTTGCCGTGTATGGGTTGATCCCAGTTTCATCCCCATATTTCTTTTCATAATAGCCCCAATTTGTTCGGTGAATCTTGGCTTGAATGAAATGCCAACGAAACATTTGAAAAAGATTCAATTCTCCTTTTAGCTTTGAAAGAATAACCCTAAAGAGAAGAACAACAAAATATAAATATATGAAACAAGTAGACCCTAGGAAATATAGTTCGATTTTGCAACATAATTTAAAAAATACGCACGATGTAGATGTAGATTTTTATGATATTTCAAATATGCTCTGGAATGAGAAGGAAGTTGAGAGAATGAAAGTGGAAATGAGAAGAGAATGGAAAATAAAATGGGTTCGTGTCACAAACAAAAACGCTGTGAACAGCTACTTATAGAGGACAATTCAAACGGCAAGTTACTAGAAACAAAGGAAAGAAATCAAAGAACAAGTACAAGAACGGTACGGACAGACAGATATTGCAAGAATATCTCCTTCTATTCCAACAGAAATCAATGTCCTGTGATATATATATATACACACACACACAATGTTGTGACTAATAATCGGAACGGTAGATCTAAAATATGTTGAGAGATCCCTTACCAGTGGTGGGTTCATCAACTTAATAGTGTCAATAAATCAATCTCTCGGGATTTACTCTTTTACAAGATTTATGCTTCTTTTAACTTGAAATCAACAACCTTTATCACCATCTTTGCCATCATCATACAGCCTGTTATCGAACGCTTCTCTATCCTCAACCAACCAAAATCTCAACTTGGTCGGAAAATGATTTGGTCCCAGGCACACCGATGTGTCGAACCATTTGGTCCCATCTCTTTCTGCATAGCTCGCCTGATCGGTTCTCCAAGAGGTCATCCCAATCAACGTCTTCCATACAAGCAGCGTCAAGTTCCGTGAGCTCGTCCAAGAGACGGTAATCATCCGAATTATCCCATATTCCCTCTGCAACCATCGGAGATGTAAGTTGGTTGTACCATTTACGACAGCAACTCGAATGGTACCTTGTTCCAAGCTGCTCGCTTATCGCTGTCCATGGGATATTGTCCCGAAGCATCCCATGTTTTGATTTCTTCTCCTGCAGTGCTTTTGTTCTCAGATCGATGTTCACCAGATCAAACAGGGTTTGGTACTCCTCGCTAGACCATCGGGCTCCGTTCATCTTTGGGAATTTTATTCTCTTCCATGCTTCTCTAACTTGCGCCCTGTGTTTGCCCATTGCTTCAGCAAGTGTTTTCCAGTGTGACCCGTGAGTCTCTACAAAGTTTTTGAGGAGTTCCAATTGTTCTGGAGTCCATGACCTCTCTGAATCTCTTTCAAACAGGATATGAGCCCGCCGATATACGCTTAATTGTGTCCTCCAAGGTAATGCAGCTCCAATTTCTTTCCAACAGTTTTTGACTTCTGGGAATGACCTGCATTTCATAACCATGTTTAAGCCTTCTTCTCCTAAGCCATGTTTATCTATGTACCGTAGAACAACCGCTTTGACTAACTCGTCTTCCTCCTTTGAGAACCGTTTTCCCCTCACCAACTCAACATTCTCTTCGTCCTCAGAAACTCCGTCGTCAGATAAAGGAAAAACGTCCACTTGATCAGAGAATTTCACCTTTTTGACACTTTTACTTGATGTCGGAATTTCATGCTCCGCATTCTTGGTTTCCTCCTGCTTTTTCTTCCTTGCATCGTGTTTCTTCTTGCGTTTCTTTTTCATCCCCTCGTTGGAATTCTCTGTGTTTTGGTCAGCTCCCATCCCGCTGGTATCAGCACTACAACCATCATTGTTCTCAGTTGGTAGATTTGCAATCTTTTATATTTTAGGCTTACATGTGAACACCGAACGATTTCATGGAATCTGTCGCGAATTTCGGGTCGTAGACGTCAACCTGACTGGAAGCAGCGCCAAGTCGGTGAGTCTCGTCGTAGTTCGCCGGAGAATCATCGTATCGTAATTGTAAACCATGGTTACTCTCTCTTCTGCAGGAGAATTAGGGTTTAGGCCCCCCAGGGAATGCCAAGCAGAGCGATGCTGGGGTTACCAGGTCGGGTTTAAATATATTCCTGGTCGGAAATAGAATCTCTAAATGGGCTAAAATGGGCTCAATACGATACAGTAAGCCCAAACAAATAATCTGGCTCCTCTTTTCTTTTTTAATGTACTAGAAAATATCCCGCGCATCGCGCGAACTAAAAATATAAACTAAATTTAAAGAATTTTATTATTATTTAAAAAAAATATAATATATATTTTTTGAATTAATAATTTATATTTTTATATCAAAATTAGATTTTTCTTAAACTGTATGAATAATGGAATAATATTTTTTTTTTCAAAACGGATTGTGAAGAATTATGTGTTTATATCTTAGTGGATTACAATGTGCAATTCAATTAGAATAGCAAAGATACTATCCCACATGACTAAAAATATATATGGACCTTAAATATTTTTATTTTAGTTTAAAATTAAAATATAATATATTTTTTTGAATTTTTAATTCATATTTTTAAATCAAAATGATATTTTTTTAAGTGTTGAGATAACACGATAATGCATTTTGTTTTTTGAAAATGTATTATGAATAATTTATGTGTTCATATTTTTTTTGGATTATAGTTAGGGTGTCAATCAGACCGACTCAAACGCGTTCTTGACCCGAAGATTTTGGAATCGAACCATCCCGATTTTTTTTGGGCTTAAATAACCAAACGTGTTCCTGTCTCTATAAATTTTAGAATTGGATCGGGCCAGACCAATGCGCTTTTTTTCAATTATTTTTTTTTTGGAAAAAAATATTAGCCTTTCGGATCAACCTGAATCAAATTGAAATTTTTTTAAATATCTAAATAACAGGATGATGTATTTTTTTTAAAAGTGGTTATGAACAACTTATATGTTTATATTTGTGTAGGTTATAATATACAATTCTATTGAAATAACATAGGTATTAACCCGCTATATATTTTAATCATTTTATCGATAATAACTCATGTACACTGTAAATATATATATATATATATATATATATATAATTTTATTATCATAGAAATATAAATATATGGTAAACATGATTAGTATATAACTATAACTATTCCAAAAAATATATTGTGTCAAACATAAACAATAAAAATGGTTGACATCACTCTTTAGAAAGTTAATTTAATCATCAAACTTAAAATGTTTCGTCTTCTTTTTTCACAGCGCTATCTTCACTCTTCTTCACCATCAGTTCGCCATATTGAATGGAGACCAATTTAAACTCGACCAACACGAAAATCCTTCCACAGTCTTCACCACCGAATGACCATGGTTAAAATCATCAAAAAGAAAACAAACAATATCAATGACTAATGTGGGTCTAAATTATATAATAATTTTGGATTTTTGTAGATTTGAAAAATATTATGTAACATTGAATATATAAAATTTCAGTTTAAATATAAAAATATTATATATCAGATTCGAAATACATGCAATCATTTTTTCCCTTGTATTAATATAACATTTTTAGACATTTTTAACATCATTTTTATACTGTGTAATTTGATGAGCTAAAGTTCATAGGGTATGTATATATAAACTTCAAAATTTCCTTGAACATGTTTTATGACTACATTTATATTAACTGCATATCATTTAAATTTTTTGTTAATATTTAATATTGTTCTCATCATTTATGGTGTTTATTGACTAAATTATATATTTCAGATTAAAATTTTCATCCTATACTTTTAAAGGATAAATTATTATATATAACAATGCATTAATAATGTATTTATGATAGGACAACAAATAAATGGAAAGAGATGCATGTTAGCTCCTTTAGATTCATAAAATTTATATACAAAAATAACCTAACAATATCACAACATAAAACTATAAATATTATATTTTATATCGATTTGATTGGTTTCTATTAATGTTACCATACCTAATTTTGATATATGAAACATATAAAAAATTATAAATTGAAGATAAGATATCAAATACAGATTTTTTATTTCATAAATGACAAAAATGATTGAAAAAGAGGTATTTCGAATGATAAATAATATTTGAGAAATAAAACACTATAAATCCGACCATACATAAATGAATCTAAGTGCCTAAGTAGTTTTTAGACCAATGAAAAGATTATTCTATCACCATATTTAATTATTTTTTTCAAATATATTGTACATATTTAATTATTTGTATATTTTATTTTTCATGATTTGTGGATAATGAAAGATCGATAATGTATTTTATTAAAAAAATCATAATAACAATGTAGTTACAGTTTTATTTAATATGATTAAATAAAAAAATGATTTCGGTTTATAATTGGGTTTCTTCTACTTCTCGTATTTTAAGAACAAACCCACCAGAAAGAAACTCCGGTTTAGAAATCCGGTTCAAAGTTTCGCATGAAACTCTTGCCCTTCCGGTCCAATTTTATATATCAATTTCAAATAATAACTACATAACGGATTCATATGATGACATCCCGATGCATATATGCATTATTTATATAAGGCAATAAACGCATGCATTCCAACGACGACAATTTGAGAGTTTTTTCCCGAAACCAAGCAGCGCCCACTCATGAATTACATGAACCTATACAAAGCAAATTCCAAACACTACTCCATAGAATCAGAAGCCAAACAACATAGCACAAAATTTAAGCCATAAAAATGGATTGAGATAAGATATATATGTTCAGCATAGTAAAATCGACGGACTGAACTACAACCTCGAGATCTCTCCTTTGCCGCCACTACCGTCATCGTCATCAAATCGCCATAGATTCAGATTTTTCGTTAACTTTGTCAAAGATACGAAATACAAATACAAATCATAGATCGAGAAAACATGTGTGAGAGAACATAAAATCTAATTATTATATAGTAAACATGGATAGGTGTAGATTAATGTATGCATTAATTATGCATACAAAAAAATATAAAAACTTTTAATTTACATTTATAAAATATTAAAGTTAATTGAATCTAATTATTATATACATAAATATCTCTTATTTTACTTATGTGGTCTCGGGGACGTTAAATTTACTTTATTAATCTTGACCTTAATTAATTATTACAATAGAAATCATTTAAAAAATATATAGACAGATTTTTTTTTTTAAAAAAAAGACACGATACTTATATATATATATATATATATGATAATCAATAAAAATAATCAATAAATTACGTATTCTAATATCTCTATATTCACTCTTGTCATTAATTTTTAACTATTTTGGAATAAATAGTTTGGATTAAAATTGTTATATGTTGAGATAATGAATCAAATCTAATATTCTACATTAAATATTTTATTACATTATTATAAATAAAAAAATCTATCTTGGAAATATGTTATGTACCAATTAATATTTAGCCCGCTCAATCTTTTTTTCTTCATTTATTTTGACCTCTTTCCATTGACAACATTTATATCTTTGGAGTCCCATGTTTTTTTTTTCTAATTCAAAACTGAACACGTTTGCTTCATCTATGAATCCATCTACATTAACTCCAACATTAATTTACTTTTGAAGGAAAAAAATGGACACGTGTCCATCCCTCCTTGCACAAACTCTACTGTTATATATATGATTTTGGGGGAATTCCATATATATGTACGTATGTATATGTATATATCTATATCTATATACATATATATGTATATGCGTAGACATATTTACGTGTATATATATGTGTATGTATCAATATATGTATACGTATTTTTTATTTATTTATTTATTTTTGTTTTTTTAGGTAAGGTTTTTCGTCGGATTTAACTTTAGTAACGAGGGATCTACGAATTATTTGGATGCGGAATCAGTTTAATTTCTCGTAATTTTGGTGGGAAAATATTTTCCTCATTTTCCGGGAAAATAAAACGCAATAAAACTCTACACCCGAAGCAAATTCCCGATCACGCAGTAGAATTCCTCTCCAATGGTTTCTCTCGCCGCTTGTTTCCCCAAACCCATCGCTCGAAACCCTCATTCTTCACCAGAGCTCGCGGATTTAACACGGAGTCCTCTCTTTCTTCGTTCTCATATTCGATTTTCTCCAGTACATGAATCTGGAATTTCTCGCGGCTTCCCCAGAGGAAGAAGGATCGCTATGTGTACTGATCGGACGGGTAAGAGTACCGATCTCTCGCTTCGTCATGATTTTCTTCTTCGATTGATCAATGGTTTCTTTGGGCGAAATTTGGAATAGCCAATCGTTCACGGTGTTAGTCACTGTAAATCTTTCTGGCGAATTCTCGGATCTTCGTAGTTTTTTGAATATTTGTGCTCTTATTGGGATCTAAAACCACTCGTAAGAACTGACCATTGGCTTTGGAGGATCTGATTGCTCTGAGTTTTGATTCTTCTGGGCAGATTCGAGCTCGCAACCATCGGACATTCCTGTTCTGTCAAGCTCTGAGGTAGTTCTAGTAACAACACCTATGTTCGAAGCTTGATATGCTCTTAGACATCTCTTTTCGGTGAATCTCATGTAAAATATAAAGAAGGGGCCACAAGACTTGGAGCTTTATATGCATGCTTCTGAGCTGTTTCTTGGACAACATATGCATTTGTCTATGTTGATTATTACTGGTAAAGACAGTCTTTTTTCTTGTTTTCGTAGGTTCTTGAGAGGCTAAAACAAGCCAGAGAAAACCTGAATGGCGGAAGACCGTTCTTGGCTATGTATTCGAGTATTGTTGGCGGAATAACGACTGATCCAGAAGCTATGGTTCTTCCACTGGATGACCATATGGTTCACAGGGGTCATGGGGTCTTCGATACCGCTATTATATTTGATGGGTCAGTGATATTTTACTTGGAAATTTCGAGTTTGAACAACGGGTCGTTTATAGAGCTTACACTTTGTTTTTGTGATACCGCAGATTCCTCTATGAATTGGATCAGCATCTTGAACGTATTTTAAGATCAGCGTCCATGGCCAAGATCGATCTTCCGTTTGATCGGGAGACTATTAGAAGAATCCTCATCCAAACAGTGAGTGTTTCTGGGTGTAGAGACGGGTCTCTAAGATACTGGCTTTCGGCTGGACCTGGGGATTTCCTCTTATCTCCATCCCAGTGTCCAAGAACAGCTCTTTATGCCATCGTGATCAAGAAAGACACCAACATTAATCCGACAGGAGTCAAGGTGGTGACCTCTTCGGTTCCCATAAAACCCTCGGAGTTCGCCACAATGAAAAGCGTTAACTACCTCCCAAATGTGCTGTCCCAAATGGAGGCCGAGGCCAAGGGCGCTTACGCAGGCATTTGGCTGGACAATGAAGGGTTTGTAGCCGAAGGTCCAAACATGAACGTGGCATTTGTTGTTAATGACGGTGGTTGTAAGGAGCTTATAATGCCACGGTTTGATAAAATCCTGAGCGGTTGTACAGCTAAGCGGGCTTTGACACTTGCTGAACGGCTTGTGAACGGGGGGAAGTTGAGAGATGCGAAAGTATGCGATATAACGGTGGAAGATGGAATGAAAGCAGACGAGATGATGCTTCTTGGAAGCGGAGTTCTAATCCGACCCGTGATTCAGTGGGATGAACAAATCATCGGCGATGGTAAGATCTCTTTACATGTTCTATAAAATTGATCTATTTAGAATCAGATCAGTGAAAAAGGGCTTTAGGCTTTTGATCATTATAGCATCAAATACCAATATTCCTTCTCAAGAATCTGATTCCATCTCTCAGATCATTTCAATCTCGATTACAAGAATCTTGAACTTTCCTGCATCATCATCGTTTGTGAATGCAGGCAAGGAAGGTCCCATAACGAAGGAACTGCTTCATCTCCTGCTTGAAGACATGAGATGTGCTCCCCCTTCAGTTCGTGTTCCTGTTCCTTACTAAGCAAAACACTCTTCTGTCTACTGGGGATTTATAGAATGTTTTATTCCTTGTGTTTGCGTTGTATGTCTCATTGTAGGTTTCTTATGTGTACTCGAGTATGTATATACGTATATGTATATACTGGCTTGTGCTTGACTGGATTCAAATGTCTTTTTTTTTTTTTGTAATTAAATTCTTAACTTTTAATAGAAAACGCAATTTTAGTTCTTTTTAGACGCTGATTTTGTTAAGATTTTTGTCGTTGGGAATTAAATTACTGAGAAAAATAAATAAACAATACAAAAATAAGTAAAATAAATGCGCAAAAAAATCGAATTTATTAGCTTAGCCTTGTTCCTACGAGGAAAAGGGGGCCATTTTGAAAGAAAAATAAGTATTGGGTGATCTATATAATAGAAAGAAAAGTGTAGGGTTATTTTGAAAATATTGGGAACGGAGGACCAAGGTACGGCGTCTCAGTTTTATGAGGTGATTAGTCAAAAACCCCGACTTTACCGTTGGTTGGATGAGAATTTCGAACGGCGTAACGGCCTACGAGAAAGTGCAGTAGATGTAGCAACGTACTGACACATGGCACCACCACATTATTTCTTTTCCATTTCTGAAAAAAAAAAAACAAAATACGGGCAAAAAGTTCGCTCCTCTCTGCGAAGAACACCACTCCCAATTTCTGCATTTCTGGCAAGTGAGAATCCGAATTTCCGTTGGTGAGAGAGAGAGAGAGAGAATCATCTGTCGCCGGGAAATTCTCCGGCACGGAAAACCTCCGTCGCCATCGCTATCTCCGTAGCTTTGGATTGATCTCCTACGAGAAGGTGGTTTTGGTTTTGGGGAAAGGATGGTGAATCCTATGGTTGATAGAGCCACAAGCGATATGTTGATCGGGCCTGATTGGGCGATGAACCTCGAGATTTGCGACACTCTCAATCACGAACCTGGGTAAGCAGTCTCTCCGGCTTTTTAATTTTTTTTTTCCGATCAGCTCTCTGTTTCCGTCTGTCTTTCTTCTGCTGATTGCGAATTTGGACTGAAATTCTGTCTCTCAAGGTTTTTGAAAAAAATTCTTTGTATATCAGATTTTGTGGATGAAATGAGACTATAAAATGCAATGTAATCATGGAGAATTTTGATACATATGTTTTTTTTTTTTGCATTGTGTTTTTGTTTTTAGATTCTGTTGTCCTGCTTGTTTTGCGCAGTGTCAAAAGTCTGAAGTCGATATAGTAGTAGCTGTGTTGGTGTAGCAGAAAGCTTACTTGGGTGATACGTTTTCTCATGCTAGGGTAACAGGTTTTTTCAATAAAATCAAATATGTGGCTGTCTACTTATATAGTTACACAAAAATTTTATGATTGCTTATGGATTTCATGATTGGATTTTGGTCGGTTTTTGGAACATTTTGGCGTTCCACTGTTTTATTGATTCTCTAACATTTAGCTGTAATGCTAAATTTTGTATGGCATTGTGTGTAGGCAAACGAAAGATGTTGTGAGTGGCATAAAGAAAAGGCTTGGTAGTAGGAGTTCCAAAGTTCAAATTCTGGCCCTCACAGTAAGTACTCATGATCTTTTGTTCGTATTTACACAAGAAATCTAGCCATTTCCTGTTTGTTCGTTTGTTTGTTTGTTTTTTCCTGTTCCACGGAACACTTAAACTTGTTTACATCTTACGACTGCCGATGTTACTTTAGTTGCTGGAGACAATGATAAACAACTGCGGGGATATCATCCATATGCACGTAGCCGAGAAGGATGTACTTCAAAAGATGGTGAAGATGGTCAAAAAGAAGGTTAGGGTTTCCTGTAAAGGGATTGTTGTTGGTCTTATCGTTTCATAACCCTTTTCGTGACACACTGTCTCTTGTTCCCCTGGTAGCCTGACAGCCAAGTAAAGGAGAAGATATTGATTCTTATAAGTACTTGGCAAGAGGCTTTTTCGGGTCCTCAAGGGAGACATCCTCAATATTATGCAGCATACCAGGAATTGTTGGTATGTCAATTATGGATGTTCAGCATGCCTCTTTTCTTTTGTTGGATCAACATTCTGTGGGTGGACAACAGTCTTTCTCCTTCCTCATGCAATTTCATACTGGATGGTAGCTGATTATATACTTGTGTTTTTTTTTAATTGAAAAAATTATCATTTTCAGCGTGCTGGATTTATATTTCCGCCGAGAGCTCAAAGACCTCAAACCTCGATCACTCCCGGACAGTTCGGGCCTCTAGCACCATACCCTCGAACTTCTCGGAATCCTGGAGCAGAACAAGAGACTTCTGAAACACCAGCTGAGTCAGAGTTTCCGACCTTGAGGTACAAATCTCCCTATTGGTCTGTAAGTGGTATGGTGAGAAGAGATTAAAGACAATTCTCATAGAAGATCTCTGCACAAAAATATGATATAACGACTTGGTGCAAAAAGATCAGTACTAATAGGCTTACCGTTGATAAGCACAGAGTTGGCACTTTAGATGATCCATTACTTCAATATGCGATTCTATTTTCCATTCAGTTGTTAATTCTCTCTCCTTTCTTGGTGAAATATTTTTGAAGTTTGACAGAAATCCAGAATGCAAGGGGCATTATGGATGTCTTAGCTGAAATGTTGAGTGCGATCGACCCGGGCAACAAAGAGGTACAACACAAATCATCTGTGAAATCAGTATTATGGAAATCATGGTTGTGTACCATCCGTAACGATACGATTTGCGGGGTTAATGATTTTAAAATCTCGATTTTGCAGGGACTTAAGCAGGAGGTTGTCATAGATCTTGTTAGTCAATGCCGCACGTATAAGCACAGAGTTGTACACCTTGTTAATTCTACTTCGTAAGCCCTCTTCGCATTTTTTTTTCATCTGTACAGAATGACTATAATCCCATCAATCTTTTTTGTATGAATCTGTAAGAAAATTTAATTTATATTAACCACTTTGGCACATCCTTCCAGAGATGAGTCCTTGCTCTGCCAGGGTCTGGCCCTAAACGATGAACTACAGCGTCTACTTGCCAAGCATGAAGCAATTGCTTCAGGAACTGGTCCAACCGAAAAAACTCCCAAGACTGAACCTGTTAAAGCCACCACAGAGCCTGTAGAGGTCAATGGTCCTCTTATTGATACTGGAGACACCAGCCAACACGGGTAAATTTCATTTCATCTCAAATTGTTACAAATCATTCTATAATTCAACCACTAATTACCACATATTAATTGTGTTATGATCAAGTAAATACTATTAGTTGATGGTTTTTTGAGGCTGTTGATGTGCATTCTCCCATGATAAGTTTAACAAAATACGTATTTTCCGTTTATACGGGTTGATGTCTTACATCACAAGATAGCTTTTAAAAAACTCTGAAACCGGTATGAGTTTATAATAGTTCAGCTTCCTTTCATCTATGACATATATATATTACATTCAAGATTTTCACTTCTCTACTAGGGCTGAAACCGGAGCTCCTCTGCCTGCATCTCCTACAGCAAATGGTCTGACATCGATATCAGCTCCAAATCCCAAGATAGATCTTCTCAGCGGCGACGATTTCGGCTCCCCAAATGCAGACAACTCGCTGGCTCTCGTTCCCGTTGGAGCTCCACAACCCAACAGTCCAGTAGCCACCCCGGAAAATTCCCTCGTCTTGATCGATATGCTATCGGATAATTCTGTTGCTTCTCCAACTGCCAATCCTGCCACACACCCGATGCAACATCCGTTTAGTCCACAGCAACAGTATTCAAATGGATTTGGTCCGAACCCGGGACCTTTCCACTACGAGCAGCAGGTTTACACACAAGGGTCTGGTCCTGTCTGGAATCTCCAGCTTTCGGCTCAGCACCCGCAGCCAACTTCTCCGGTCTATGGTCAGCAAGCTTCGCCATCTGGCTTTGGCCGACCCTCATCCCCTGACTACGGTATTTATCTACTTCTTATCAATGCGTTCAAGATTTTCTTAACCTTTAGGATCACAGTAAAAGAAACTCGATAGACATTTATCAGTAAGATACTCTCGTCGAGTTCTTTTTCTCTTAACATTTTGATCTGTGGGAATCCTTGGATAGGTGGACAGAACATCGTTCTGGCACTACCTCCGCCGCCATGGGAAGCTCAGTCACCGAGCTCTAGTCCTCATCATCATCATCAACCAATGCAAGTAACTCAGGTGGTGGTCACTCACACTCAACCTGTCGGATATCCTCAAGGCCCTCCTCAGTCACCGACTGCCGCAAACCCCTTTCCCGGGACGTTCATCCAGCCAATGGCAGGCTGCCACATGTCACCCTTCCACAACCCCTCCTACAATGGTTACTACAGCCCCCAGATGAACTATAACCACAATGCCATGTACCAAAACCAGATGGTCGGCTATAGTCAGCCTCAGCAGTATCTCATGGAGCAGCAAATGTACGGAATGTCCCTTGAGGAAAACGTCAACAACAGCAACAACAGTTCCAATCCGTACCAGGTTTCCTCTTCCTCCGATCTTAACTTTCCTCCGATGAAGCCTAACCCTAATAAACCTCAAGATAAGCTATTCGGAGATCTGGTTGATATTTCCAAGTTCAAGAAAACGGGTCCTGGAAGAGCCGGTAGCATGTGAAACTCGATCCTAATTAACGATGACCACAGATCGGATATCCAGATTTTCTTCTATATATATATGTTCGATCAGATTCGCTCGGTAAGATACGAATATTTGATATCACATAGCGTATATTGAAAACCCAAAGTAGTATTACTCTTGGTGAACTGCCTCGCTATTCTTCTTTCTTCTTTCCTTTAGTTCGTCCTCCTCTATTCTTTAGTTTGGGCTTCCAATAAGCTGCTTTCTTCACATTTTAACTATTTATGCGCTATTTTTCATATATATATGTGTGTGTATACACACACTGGTGACATTATATACCCACAAACATGTTATCTACTGTTTTATACAAACATATATTGGTATAAAATGTTCGATTTCGAAGCATATCTCGTTCTAATTGTGGGTTATTTTGATAAATAACGTAAAAATGAGACTGTTTTTAGATATTTTTATAAATATGGAGTGAAAACGTAAGGTTGGTGATAATGCGGGGCAGCTGCTACAAATGTTTTGGCTCCTTGTCTACTGATCACGCCTTCCGCTGAACTAAGATGACGTCATGCGATACTGTTCTCCACCGTTGATATTGTTATCAACGGCTAGGAATTATATTCCCTTTAGAATTTTAATTTAATTTTTTTTAAAGAATTTTTCAATCCAATCCAAATCCAATTAACATAAAAAGCACAAAAACCATCATCCCTTCTCTCTCTCGCTCGTCGCTCTTCTTCTGCAGGTTAGTTTTTGCTTCTGTAGATGAGATTGAGCTGTTGATCTTCTTCTGGTCTTGCGATTCTCTGTATTTTTTGTTCGATCTGTAAGTTTTTCGCTGCGATCTGCTTGGTTACTCAGAAAAATTGAAGAATCTTGTGATTGACAAGGAAAAGATACGATTACGATTAAGCTGAGAAAATTTCATCACGCTTTTGTCTCGGTCCGTTTTAATCGTTGCACATCGGCTTGTGTTGGTTCTTGGCTTTGTGGTTTGGTTAATTTTGCGTTTTTTTTTTTGTAATAATCTCTGGAAACAAGCACTATCAATGTTTGGTATGTCTGGGTCTGGCTACGGGAATTAGGTCTTTGGTAGTGGTAGCTGTTGTTGTTGTTGTTGTTGTCAAAAGTTGAAGATAGAATTGGGAGAATTCATCGTCCTATTAACGAATAGAAAGAAAATGAAAGATTTTGGAGTTCTATCGAAATGCATTTATGAGATTGATGAAATTTCAGAATTCATGGATTTCGGCTACATGACGTTACTTTAGAGAATAAGAAGTCTCTCTGTATGAAATTATTGTTATTATTAGCGTATATATAAGTGTGGAGTTGAATATCTGCTTTTCGTCTCTTGGTTCAATTCTTTTGTTTTTGTTGTTCATCAACGGCTGATTCCGCTAGCCATGCGGGCTGCTTGTGTAATTGATCTACATGTCGATATCTTACTATATGATTTTTGCCATTCTCCAGCTTTCTCCTTGGTATACCCGTGGCTTGCTAGCAGCATTCTCGATATGCAGGTTAGCTGTTTACAGTTCACTTGCCTGTTTCTATTGTCAGTTTCTCGTGGAACTTTCCTGAAAACTGGTCAAATGATATGTATGTGGTGCTGTATATTGTTATAAAGTCTTGTTCCAGAATCCCAGTTCGCTGAGGGAGAGTGCATATTTTCTCGGGTTAATTTCGATCCACACTAGTGTTTGCTCTAGCATGTGTTATATAATTTAACTCTATATGCAGGCATCCCGGGCAAGACTCTTGAAGGAATACAAAGAGGTCCAGCGAGAGAGAGTCGCTGACCCGGACATTCAATTGGTGTGTGATGATTCCAACATATTCAAATGGACTGCATTCGTTAAGGTACACAAACTACATCTCTGAAAACAACAGCGTAATTGCTGACATCTTGTCTGTAAAATCAGATTCATATCTTTGTTGTTGTCTCGGAAAACAGGGACCATCAGAGACTCCTTATGAGGGTGGGGTGTTCCAGCTTGCATTTGCTGTTCCTGAACAATACCCCCTGCAACCTCCTCAAGTGCGGTTCTTGACCAAAATATTCCATCCAAACGTGCATTTCAAGGTATGAAATCGTTTCAATATGAAATTTATTCACAAGTGAGAAACGTTGGGACTGAAATTGGAAACCTGACTCTTATATCTCCTGGCCCTAAACTTTCGAGCAATTCTCTTACCGGGGTCGTCTCTTCCAGCGAATAAATATTACATGAAGATAGAAAACATGAAAATAGCAGAAACTTTAAACAAAACACGAATCAGAAATAGTTAGTGCTGCCAAATGAGCCCCTAGCTGATCCACTTTATTTGTTTGGTAGACTCATGTATGTTAATAGAACTTGAGGTTTATCACCTCCATGAATCCATGTTCTTCTCGAATTAATCAAGGATTTTTACATTAAAAATCCAGTGTGATGTAAAAAAATAAGATGTTTGTTTTGATTTTTCTCCTAGACTGGAGAAATATGCCTGGATATCTTGAAGAATGCATGGAGTCCCGCATGGACGCTTCAGTCAGTCTGTAGAGCTATAATAGCTTTGATGGCACATCCAGAAGCCGATAGCCCTCTCAACTGTGATTCCGGTAGTAGAATCCCTCTCATCTTCTTTCTCGGTTTTGCCCATCTTTTGCAAGAACTGTTCTGTGGTAATGAGTCAAATGCCCATTTGTGAGTGATGGTTGGGAAAATTTTGGGCAGGAAATCTTATACGGTCAGGCGATATGAGAGGATTCCATTCAATGGCACGCATGTACACAAGGCTCGCCGCCATTCCCAACATGGGATGAAAAAAATGTACCCTCGGAAAAGACAGCATTGGATGTGTTACCAAAGCACTACAGCTCTCATCAAAGGTAAGTCCCCTCTTCTCTCCAAATTCGTGGCCGCTCCTTACCTTAAGAAGAAGAGACATGTAAACCACACTAGTCGTATCGTCGGTCTTTTACCATTTCACATTGCGGGAGAAAAAAAAAATCAAATCAAAGAATTTGTTTAGATCACAGACACAATTTAACTGGTGTGTGTGTGCGTGAATTGCATTGGATTCTCGGATTGACAAACGAAATCGGATTTAATTTAGCAGATACAAAAGGAAAGCAAAATGGGAGATTGAATAGAGGCGAAGCCATTAGGAAGATGGAGTATTTAACGAGATTAAAATGAGTCGAGGGTAATTGTTTGTTGTCTTTACACAAAAGTGAACTTACGGATACAAAGCTAAAGTGGTTTGGAACAAACAGTCTAGGGAGGGGTTTTTTTGTTATATGGTGGTTTGAGAGGGACACCCCTTGTCTTAGAGGAACTTGTCGAACCAATGGCTTGCCTCTCTGATCATAAGCTTTGTCACTTTGTGCGCAACTCCAGGTTCTGCTTTGAACTGCGTTTCACTCGCACGGAATTAAAGAGGGTTTTCTTTTATGGTAATATAATAAATCATCAAGACTAAAGAGTTATGTTTTCTAATGTTCTTTATCTTCCATATGGATATGGTTACCTGAAACGTTTATACATTTTATGTATTAAAAAAAATCAAGACTTGTGCGAATTGTTGGAGTGGGATTCGATTTGGGGTTCTGATTCTCTTTAGTTATTTAAGGAAATTTAGCACTGTGGGGTTCAGGTTCAAAAGAGCGAGGGAGACTGTGGGGAGTGTGTTGTTACCTTGAAATTGTGAGGAGAAAAAGTGGCTCTATAGGCGTGTTTTGTCCTCCTGATGGGTGATTTGAGCCCTCCGATTGGGCAGCGAGGATCTTCTTTGCCTAATAAAAAATTTTCGGAATTTTTTTAGGAAACGTATGATATGTGAAAGGTTAGTGATTGAAATCAGTTCAAAATGGTGTTTGGGCGGGGGGTGTGTACCGTTGATGACATAAAGAGGACGTGGGGCGATCATTGGCAACGAGTAGGGAGAGTCGAAATAGGAGGCCAGTCCCGGCGCTATTCTATCCCACACCTGTTTCCTTTTACCTCGTCAGAATTGCAATGCTTTCCACATTCATATATATATATATATATATATGCAGGAGAAAAAAAAAGTCTCTATCGGGATAAAGAGATCGGGGCAAAATTAGGGGTGATCATTTCGTTTTTATAAAAATTATAATAGTTCAATTTTTATATTGAATTCTATTCTATTCGATTTCAATTTCTATTAATATGTTTGAAATAAATTTTTGGTTGTTTTTGTTATTAGGTTCAGCTCAAGTTTGGGTTTTTTTCTGGAGAAATCATAACTAATTGATTATTATATCGAATTTAGTTCGGTTATGGTTACGTGTTATTCGGTTTGTTTCAATTTAATTATTCGGTTATTAAATAAATGGACCAACACTAGATAAAATTATACAAAAATAAGATATTCATCTCGAAGAGTATCTATTTTTTTTTTTTTTGGGGTATATCCAAAACTCATGTTTGGGTTCGGATTCCAATATTAAAAAAGTTTTTAAGACCTGACCCATGTTCAACTTTAGCCGGAGGCGGAGGCACTTACCTTTTCGACCACTTCCCTGTCGATTTGATCCTTCCCCATATCGATCCTTGCTTCTGATACCACTCGGGTGGCAAATGAATCACATTAACTTTTAAATTTTACTAATTGTTATAACATATGATAGCTCCTGTACCCAAACTCTTTCGAAAAAAAAAGGGGGAAAAACACAAAATCAAAAATAAAAGTCCCACGAAGGCTTAGCGTCGACATGAATCTGCTCTTTCCTTTTTTAATTTTTTATTTATACTTTTTTTTTTCGTTCTGAAAATGGAGATACGTGAGCAACCCCATATTCTAAAAGCCTCTCCTAAACGTACCTTCGAATAGAGGCCTTAGACTGTCGACTCTTCCCTCCCACATGTCATTGTCTATTGCCCATCTAAATCCCTACAACACAATTTCATCATAATTGGAAAATCGATCACAGTCAAAGCTAAGCCATCTTCCAACGGTCAATGCGTTTATGGAAGGAACTTATTGATAAATGAATAGATTTCTCACCTGGACACCGATCAACGGGACAGTAACGGAATAGCGGGTATCAGCAAAAGCCCCAAACCAAGCATGCATTCCTGCATTTTCTTCACCAAACACGAGTTAAAAAGGTACGAAACCATAACTACTGTTCTTGGGTTTTTTTTTTTTTTTGTGGTTGCATTCTGTGACTAACCTCCTAAAGATATACCGGTGATTCCTATCCTTTTAGTATCTATATCTTCCCTCTGGGTTAGATAGTCAGCTAGTTTGATCAAATCCCATACCTGAATCCGTTCAAGTGAGACGGTACTATAAACTGAAAGATACCGAAAGGAATTATTAAGCGATCCCGCAAAGGTGTCTAAATGGATGGGAATGTTACCGTATCGAAGATAAAGGGCATTGTATCGCCGTTTTTCCACGATGATATGAGAGCCTGCATTCAACTTGCACAAACCCATGTCAGACCCTATGGAGAATCAGCTCTTCATTCTCACTCAATATCACAAGAGCAAAGCCAAATCGTCGAAGCTACTAAATCGTTATAATGCTGAATGATTTAGAACGTTTCATATATACATCGCTATAAGCCGTCTTGTTCCTAGCACGCTCCCCGTGATAGCGGGAGTCCAGACCGATTGCTATGTATCCCCGAGAAGCATAAGCCTAAAAACAAGCGAAAGTCTGTCGCATAAGAATTTCTCGCCTTCAATGATTTAAGGGTGAAATCAGCTTTAAAGAAAGCTTCCACTCTTTTACTTCCAGCCATGGGCGCAGCCATTCTTTGTTTGCGTTTGTGCCGTGCATGAATACAACAGAAGGCCTTCTTTCTGCAGTGGTCTCCTTCAGACTTAAGATAAGCAATGGCAATATGCCTTGCTCTGAAGCCTATACAACAGAAAATGCATTAGCATTACCTTTTAAAATGGTAATAAGTGGTGAAACATAGACACAATTGAGCAAAGAATCTTCCCGGAATATCGAGAACATAGAACTTGAATAGTTTCGAATCCACTAGAAGAATCGCCTTGGAAGGTGATTTGATATTACTTCTCCAATACAACGCACCTTTAGCATCTAATTTTCCCGAAAAACTAAAATCCAAAGCCTTTGCATAGATCGTATAATATATATATAGTATATTACCTCAGTTCTTAAATGTAAATGTTCTTCCTTAAGAAGCTCCTTCAAGTTAGTTATATTTGCTCTTGGAGAAGACTCTATTGTCTGCTTGGTAACAAAAACAAGACAAAGCACGAAAATGAGTAGAAGAGAAAAATTAGAATCACCAATCTACGTTATGGATTAAAAATCTTTAGTAGAATATGACCTCTGTCGATGGAATAACATCCTGATACAAAGGATTTTTGACAGGCTTCGAATGTGTTACCTCCAATGGAACTGAAAATGTTCAAAACATTTCATCAAAAAGAATCCAAACATACCCAGTATTACTATGTAATCCAAATCAACAAAACAAGCCGAAATGCACACATAACAAGATGAGAAAATAATTCTGGTATCAGAGTCGAACCTGATACGCATAATGTTTATAGGGAGATTTAAAGCTTTCATCCTCTTTCCATCATCCAAAAGAATCAAACATAAATCGCTTTAAACAGTCACAGGGACGAAACAAATGACAAAACTCTTGCAAACTTGGAGATTCTCAGAGAAATATCAAACGCGGAGAAGAGTCGCTAAACTGCAAATCAAGCGAATGAACACATACACGAACACTGTTCGCTTTCCCAGCATCCAACCAGAAACGAATCAACATGAACGACACGAGCTTATAGAAATTGTTCAACAGCAGAGTCAATGAATTCATGAAATACCATGTACTTATTCAAAATGCAATTCGCAATTTTCCAGCATCTGAAATGAAGAAGGCGTCACCAGATGACGAAATCAACTACTCCATCGACAGAGAGAAACAGAAACTTTCTCCTCGCGGAATCTAGATTTTCTAGTCACTTTACCGGAAACCAAACAGAAAAAAGGAAAACCGAAAACATTGTATACCTTCGGCCGACCGTCTACTCCGGAGAACTCGGAGAAACGATGATCGAATCCCTCCGGCGTCGGTCTCCGGCGTCGGAAAAAGCAGGAAGAACAACAACAACAGCAGGCGACGAACAACGCTTTCGGCTGATCGTCTTCTCCCGCGAACTCTCGAAAATATCGATCGATTCTCTCCAGCGCTGGCCATTGCCGTTCGCATGTCTCCGGCATGATGATGACTTATACTCGAACACCCTAGAGGGAAAATCACTCAAATGACACACTTGTGGGCATCTATTTCACCTATACACGAACAAAAACATAACACATTTTTTTCTCCATAAAAAGACCAAATTACCCCTAATGAATCACGATATTTATCCGTTCGAAAACAACTTCATTATTACGACTTCGTAATTAATTCTAAATATAGTTACAAAAAGGTGGCAAAAAAAATTATCCGTCTTATTTTAATTATATATCAGTGATATGTTAGTCGCAAAAAGGTCACAAAAAATAAAACGAAAAGGGTATTTTGGACTTTTTCAATCGAAAAGTGGATTAAAATTGAAATTTTTTTTTTCTAGGTGGTGTACCTGAAATTACTGCGACCCAAGTGGGTTATTAGGGTTTTACCCAAGTGGGTTATTAGGGTTAAAACCCCCACTCTAGAAATATATGTAGTTTTAAAAGAATAAATTTAGCTCCCACGTGGCATTAAAATAATAACGAAATAATCGATCTGTTAATAATTCAAATGTATAGTTTATTGTCTAGATGTTCCTATCACGGGTTCGTCCTTCCGATATTCGGTTTAAAAATGATTCAATTTGATTCTTTAGTTTTTATAGTATAATATTTTTTTCGATTCGGTTTTGATTTGATTCGATTTCGATTTTTATTAAGAAAAATTTAGATATTTTTAAAAATAATTTGATTTTTCTGATTTTTTTAAAATTTGCTTGGGTTTTGAAAATTCAGTTTAAAAAAAATACGATTAAAAAATTTTAGATAATTAGGTTTAAAAAGAAATATCGTATTTTCTGATTTGGTACCATTCGATTTTCGATAAACCGTATTGAAATGTCCATGTACCAAGATACCCATCCACCTGAGTTTCGGGTTCGGTTCGAGTTCGAGAATTTCATCACGGTTATCTTACGGGTACGTAAATTATAAAATTACAACAATGCCCTTGATTTTTAATGCGCTTACAAAAATACCCTAACCCTAATTTACTAAGTAGCTAACGCAGCCTCCTCTTCGGCAGAAGGAAAATCAACGTCCGCCGTGTTCGGACGGAGACTCGCAAGGCGGAAACGGAGAGACCAAGGCAAACGGCGAACACGGAGAACGGCAAACGGCGAACGGCGAACACGGCGGACGTTGATTTTCCTTCTGCCGATTGCTCTCTCTGTTCGTTTGCTCTCTTTGTTCGCCGTGTCCGCCGTTCGGTCTCCCTGACTCAACCGTGTTCGCTTCACGTTTGGTCTTCCTCGCCCGTGCTTCTCACTCTCCACCGTTCGGTCTCTCCAACTCTCAACCTCTCTCAGGTTCCATTTCGATCTCTCTTATCTCCTCTCAGGTATTCGATTTCGATTTTTCTGTCGAACTAGTTGCTTCCTCTGTTTTCGATTTTCGAGGCTTCTACGGATATGAAATTCGCAACCTTTGTGTAGGTTTGTGATTGTAGGTGGAGGCAATGCTGCAGGTTACGCTGCTAACACTTTCGTCGAACATGGAATGGCTGATGGTAGGCTCTGCATTGTGACCAAAGAGGTGATTGAATCGAGTGTTCTAAAGATCAATCCTTTTTTTGTGGGTTGCTTAAGACTTTAATCGAGTGTTCTCAAGATCGATTTGTTTGTGGGTTGCTTAAAAGTTTAATCTGTTGTGATCATTGGATTTTTTTGGGTTTGTTTGTGTTTAGGCTTATGCACCTTATGAGAGACCAGCTTTGACGAAAGGCTTACTTGTTTCCCCCGGAAAAGAAGTCTGCTCGTTTACCAGTAAGCAGCTTAATCTTCACACTCTGATATGTTTTTGTAGTCTATTTCCTCTCGAGACCATCGGATTTTGTTCATGTTCGGGAATTTGATTCTCCTCCATGCGTCTTTCACGTGCCACCTGTGTTTTCCCATTACTTCAGCGAGCGTTTTCCAGTCCGACCCATGTTTCTCCGCAAAGTTTTTGACGAGTTCCAACTGTTCCGGAGTCCATGATCTCTTGGGATCTCCTTCAAACAGGATATGAGCTCGGTAATATACGCTTGACCGTGTCCTCCAAGGTAATGCAGCTGCTATTTCTTTCCAACAGTTTTTAACTTTTGGGATTGACTTGCATTTCATAACCATGTTTAAACCTTCTTCTGCTAACCCATGGTTATCTATGTATTCTTGAACAGCTGCCTTAACCAACTCGTCTTCTTCTTTTGAGAACCGTTTGCCCATCATCAACTCAACATTTCCTTCATCTTCTTTGAATTCATCCTCAGACACTCCGCCGTCAGATAATGGAAACATATCCACTTGATCAGAAAATGTCACCCTTTTGGCGCTTTTACTTGATGACGGAGTTTCAGGCTCTGCGTTCTTAGTTTGCTCCTGCTTTTTCTTCTTTTTCTTCTTTGCGCACCAGAGAGGATAGTAGCATGAGAAAGAAGAAGAAGAAGAAAGACAAGAAGAAAGTAAGTGATATCGAGGCAAGTGAGAGCTCCAAGAAAGACAAGACAAGTGAAGCAGATCAAAGGGATGACACGCCTGTGGAAAGCACTGATGGTTGTAGTGGTGTTACCAGCAGGAAGAAGAGAGAAAAAGCGGAATAGCGATTTGGGAGCTGACCAAAGCTTAGAGAATTCCGACAAGGAGAGGAAAAAGAAACGCTTCTTTGAATTCATCCTCAGACACTCCGCCGTCAGATAATGGAAACATATCCACTTGATCAGAAAATGTCACCCTTTTGGCGCTTTTACTTGATGACGGAGTTTCAGGCTCTGCGTTCTTAGTTTGCTCCTGCTTTTTCTTCTTTTTCTTCTTTGCGCTCCAGCTCGGTAATATACGCTTGACCGTGTCCTCCAAGGTAATGCAGCTGCTATTTCTTTCCAACAGTTTTTAACTTTTGGGATTGACTTGCATTTCATAACCATGTTTAAACCTTCTTCTGCTAACCCATGGTTATCTATGTATTCTTGAACAGCTGCCTTAACCAACTCGTCACCATTGGAGATGTAAGTTGCCTGTACCATTTTATACAGCAATTCGAATGCGTCCTAGTTCCAAGCTGCTCGCTTATCGCCGTCCACGGGATATTGTCCCGAAGCATCCCGTGTTTCGAGTTCTTCTCCTGTAGTGCTTTTGTCCTGAGATCCATGTTCACCAGATCAAACAGGGTTTGGTATTCCTCTCGAGACCATCGGATTTTGTTCATGTTCGGGAATTTGATTCTCCTCCATGCGTCTTTCACGTGCCACCTGTGTTTTCCCATTACTTCAGCGAGCGTTTTCCAGTCCGACCCATGTTTCTCTGCAAAGTTTTTGACGAGTTCCAACTGTTCCGGAGTCCATGATCTCTTGGGATCTCCTTCAAACAGGATATGAGCTCGGTAATATACGCTTGACCGTGTCCTCCAAGGTAATGCAGCTGCTATTTCTTTCCAACAGTTTTTAACTTTTGGGATTGACTTGCATTTCATAACCATGTTTAAACCTTCTTCTGCTAACCCATGGTTATCTATGTATTCTTGAACAGCTGCCTTAACCAACTCGTCTTCTTCTTTTGAGAACCGTTTGCCCATCATCAACTCAACATTTCCTTCATCTTCTTTGAATTCATCCTCAGACACTCCGCCGTCAGATAATGGAAACATATCCACTTGATCAGAAAATGTCACCCTTTTGGCGCTTTTACTTGATGACGGAGTTTCAGGCTCTGCGTTCTTAGTTTGCTCCTGCTTTTTCTTCTTTTTCTTCTTTGCGCTCCTCTCAGTTTCCAAGGTGTTATTTTCAGCCCCTGACTCGTCATTATGTTTCCTCTTGCGTTTCTTTTTCCTCTCCTTGTCGGAATTCTCTAAGCTTTGGTCAGCTCCCAAATCGCTATTCCGCTTTTTCTCTCTCTTCTTCCTGCTGGTAACACCACTACAACCATCAGTGCTTTCCACAGGCGTGTCATCCCTTTGATCTGCTTCACTTGTCTTGTCTTTCTTGGAGCTCTCACTTGCCTCGATATCACTTACTTTCTTCTTGTCTTTCTTCTTCTTCTTCTTTCTCATGCTACTATCCTCTCTGGTTTTATTCTTGCCCCTTTTCTTCTTCTTGCTGCTGTCCTCTGTTGACTTCACGTCTTTTTCAATACATGTTCCATCCAGTCGCCCTGGTTTATTCTCAACATCCGCTTCCACCAAACCTTCATCACCAGTAGCAGTTTCATCCATCCCACAAACTTCATCGCCAATCTCAACCTTGTGTGTTTTCTTTTTCCTCTTCTTCGTCTTCTTAACGCTCAGACAACCGTCACTGCCGCTATCTTCAAGTTCTGCTTTTCGCTTCTTCTCCTTTGCACTTGAATACATAAAAAAACACACAACTAGAGTTATAGCATAATATAACAAGCAATACCAATTTTCTATCACAGACATTACCAAACATGAGATTTTGTACAGAATCTGAGAGAACCCAATTCAGAAATAGAGAGATACCTTTCTTCGCCGACTCCCTGCATTTTATATCTCGCCATTGAGAAGCCAACCTCCCAAGTTAAGAGATTAAAATTACAATAGCTTCCTTCTTACAGGTGGCAGTTTTCTTCTGATAAGAACACAAATCCGATTGTGAGGAACACATATTATAGAATAAGTATCATCATATGTTTCACCGCTAAACCAGTCCATATTTTCAGAAAATCTAAATAATTCACTACTAAACCAAAACTAAATCCTTGGGAGTAACATTCCGAAAAGCAAGAGCACATACCGATTTATGAAGTGTGTGAGAAAGGACCCCTCGAGTTCCTTCCTCCTGATCAACAGCCACTCTATATAAGCAAAACGAAACACGAAGATCTAAGATACTGAAGGAAAACCATATAGTCATATACACTAAATGCCAGAAGCATTACAAATGAAACTATAACCAAAGACAAACCATGAGATAATAAGCAATCTCTAAACATAACCCATACCATATGCCTCCCTATCAAAACTATTACGAAAAAAGAAACCCACTTGTGTTATGAACAACCATATCATGAATCATGTATCCCAGTCATTAACAACCATATCAACCAGAGAATCGATCATATGACATAATAGACTACAAAAACATATCAGAGTGTGAAGATTAAGCTGCTTACTGGTAAACGAGCAGACTTCTTTTCCGGGGGAAACAAGTAAGCCTTTCGTCAAAGCTGGTCTCTCATAAGGTGCATAAGCCTAAACACAAACAAACCCAAAAAAATCCAATGATCACAACAGATTAAACTTTTAAGCAACCCACAAACAAATCGATCTTGAGAACACTCGATTAAAGTCTTAAGCAACCCACAAAAAAAGGATTGATCTTTAGAACACTCGATTCAATCACCTCTTTGGTCACAATGCAGAGCCTACCATCAGCCATTCCATGTTCGACGAAAGTGTTAGCAGCGTAACCTGCAGCATTGCCTCCACCTACAATCACAAACCTACACAAAGGTTGCGAATTTCATATCCGTAGAAGCCTCGAAAATCGAAAACAGAGGAAGCAACTAGTTCGACAGAAAAATCGAAATCGAATACCTGAGAGGAGATAAGAGAGATCGAAATGGAACCTGAGAGAGGTTGAGAGTTGGAGAGACCGAACGGTGGAGAGTGAGAAGCACGGGCGAGGAAGACCAAACGTGAAGCGAACACGGTTGAGTCAGGGAGACCGAACGGCGGACACGGCGAACAAAGAGAGCAAACGAACAGAGAGAGCAAGCGAACACGACGAGCAGAGGCTCGCAAGGTGGAGACGGAGACTCGCAAGGCGGAAACGGAGAGACCAAGGCAAACGGCGAACACGGAGAACGGCAAACGGCGAACGGCGGCCCGAGTTCGCGGCGGCCGACTGGGCGGGGCCGAGTCCCTCCTCGGACGCGTCCGTGTGGGTTCGGAAGCGTTCGCTGCCATTTTCGTTTTACACATACGAATCAAAATTTTCCAATTCGGAACTCGAAATCAGCTGAATCGTCGGATAATTCTGTTCGCGGCGGAGGAGCTGAGGAGAGAGGCTGTACGGCAAAGGCGGTCGGCGACGGCGCATTATGGGTAAAGCTTTATTCTCTCTGCTTCTCTTTTTTTGTTTTTTAAAATTGGGTGAGAAATAGAATACAGAGTTGGAAAATGGCAAATGGAATATAATACAAATGCCTAGCGCAGAAATTGTCAAACAACAGGATCATAAAGGATGTTGGAAAAGTGGGTTTTCTTTCCTTAGGACACGAAACACACTTCAAACCGAAATTGAATTTGAATTTCATAAGTGGATAATGTGTTAGTGTCCTACCACTAATTCATCCGTAATCATACTTTTATTTAATTAAAAAATATTATTATTTTGTATAGTTTTCCAGTTTGTTTGTTGGTCTTATTTTCGGGGGAATATATATATATATATATATATATATATATATATATATATATAAGATGCCGAAATTGCTGAACGATCTTCTCTGTGTACGGGAAAAGAGGCTCAAAGTTGGGCCGTTGGGCTCTTATTACATTTATTTATTTTGAGTCTTCCAGTATTTTGGGCTTCTAGGTTAAGAAATTAATATTATTTTGTTATTAAAGTAAAATGAATTCGTTGTAAATGAAAAAAAATAAAAAGTAAGGAAAATAGAAAATAAGGCACGTTTAATTATTACGAATGAAAACAGAAAAAAAAATGAATATTTTCTTTGAATATTAAAGAAAGAACATAAGAAATTGCAAAAAGTTTTATTGACACAGTAAAAGAAAAGAAAAGGTAAAACAATGTCTCTGATATGTTTAGTCCTGACTAATTTAAAAAATGAAAGAAAAAAAAACTTAAATTTAATTCGATTCACGCGCCAGATATATAATATAAAAATTATAACCGATTCTAATACAAATATAACATAAAAATCAAATACAAACAAACATAAATAATAAATTTATAACCTACCAATTTTATCATAAATAAATACGATATCAACTTTCACTTGCAACTTGATGTCTTTTTTAAACCAAAACATCGTTAATTTTCATCTTAAATATCATCTTGATCTTTAATATATATATATATATATATATATATATATATATATAAAAGAAGCTCAAATACAAAAAAAAATAACTATTATCCACCAATTCAAATACAAACAAATATAAATTAATTCTATTTGTAATTTATTTTTTGGATAACCGGATGTTCTAAATCGAGATCCAGACTAATCTCGTAGATGAGAGCAAGTCATGTGATTAGAATTTATACTCTCCTCCTCAATTTGAGACTCGAACTAACGGCGGGACAAACCCTTTGCGTTCTCATATTACCGATTATAATTTCATTTGGGTGTATCCAAAAACACCATCGACTCACGGATGGGCTCGATTGGATCCGATCTAGATCGTCACGAGCTTGCTAATTTTGAATCTCGCTTTTAAATTGTGTCAAAAATCTTAAATGATTTGTATAAAAAACGGGTTTGTTCCGAACCAATTCAGGAATCCCGAGTCATTTTACCCAACAGTAAAAGAAAAATTAAAAAAAATGAATTTTACATCAAATGGTTAAGAAATTTGTTCAGTAATTAGAAATTAATAACATCTGGATAATTAATTAGATCAATGAAGTTTCCAGAAAATAAAACTTTTAAAAAATTAAGATAGTTAAATCACTCAATGGTAAAAATAAAGAAAGCGAATCCTTATAAACATGTATTTAATTACAGTATTAAATTATCATACATCGAAAGAAAAATTAATTAGTATATATATAAATATGTATGTATATAATGTATATATGTGCGCGTGCGCGCGCGTGTTTGTGTGCTATGTCGTTACAGAGGAGTAAATATTTGCGTATGCCCTCGATTAGAGCAGCTAATTATATATATACACTAAGAAATATAAGTTGGCATGTATAGGAACATGAAATAAAATTATGATAATTAATTTATTGATATAAATTGATAAATAAAGTGTATATATACATATATATATATATAATATGAGCTGAATATAACGCCAGCATTACCATATTAATGCTTCCGCCGCTAATCTTTTTTATGTTAAAGTTTTAAGTCTTGATAACATTTTCTAATGCATATTATATATTTTATTAAATAAATATTTTATAATAGAAATTTAGATGAATTTATAAACTAATTTTATTTGTGGAAGTTATATATTTTTTTCGCATGATTTTTAAATAGTATTTTTTTGTATAACTTGATTTTTTTGTTAATATTCTACAGTGTAAAATTCGAATCAACTCTTTTATGCATAAAAACTATAAAATTTAGATGATATTCTAATACCAAAAATTTATAAAATCATAGATAGTAAACATAACGGGTATATAAAAAAAACCCTTTTCTTGAATTGTTTATAAGAATATCATGCATGTTACGGCTCATTTTTGAAGATTAGTTTATTAGTACTCTGTGCGTGTATTTTGAGAAACTATAATGTTACATTATTATTTTTTTAATAAAAAAATAGAAAGGTTAAACTATTTCTACTCATAATTTTTTTTTAAAAATGTTCCTTGGATATCTTCAAACGGTCGGTCCAACCTTAAAAAACCACTCAAAGTAGGGCAAAGCCGCAACGGATATTAAATAACACTCATTATGAGAGAGAGAGAGAGAGAGAGAGAGAGAGAGAGAGAGAGAGAGCTCTATTTCCATGCGTAGTCACACGTGTAAGGCCCATTATAAGTTTATAACTCATAACTCATTTTTAAATTCTGCTTTTATTTTTTTGGCCTCTTTTAATTGTGTTTTTTAATTAAACTAAATATAATCGCTTAATCGAATTCCATTAATTAGGGTTTTCTGATTTCATCCGAGCGAATAGAGATATTTACAATTTTACCTTTCTGTCGCTTTCTTTGTCCCTTACACGGATCGAGCGGCATAGATACTACTAATTATCATATGAGTTGAACATCTGCAAATTTTAATATATTCGAGTCTGAATACATAATAAATTTTATCATTCGAAATTAAATTTATGAACCATATAGATATCCGAATTCGGATCTTGATTTCGCATTCAATAGGATTGGTGGGATCATTTTTGTCCACACTGATAATGGTGGTGGGTACGTATTTGCCTTGCAAGATGCCATCGATCAAAAGTTTTCTTGTAATGAAAAAAAAATAAAGGAAAAGAATTTTTGTGTGTGTGGATTTTGGCCACAGAGACGTGCGTTTGGTTATGCAATTTTTTTTATATAATAGGAAACCCAACTGCTATTTTTCGGTGCGTTTGTTCGGTAAATTTATGCCTACGGGTACAAACCCGCGACATATACGTAAAAGATAAATCAGTCGTGATTGTATATTGATCATTCTCATTATCAACTCACCGTAAGATTTTCTCTAATTTTTTAGATAAAAACCTGCATTTTAACCTAATTTTATCTTATATCCATTTTGATCGGTAAAAATATTAAATTAATCCAAACCGAATAATATAAGAGATATAAAAGTTGAATTGTTTTACCTTTTTAAACAAAAATATTCAAATCCTACTGCGATAGAAAAATAATCAGAAAACTGAATACAAACCAAAATTTATTCACACAAAAATAAATATTTTTATCAATAAAAAATAATAACAACCAAACCTAATGAAATCCGATCCAAAATAAAAAAACGAATAAATATTTTCAAATTAAAATAAGAGTTTAAGTGATTTAGTGGTAAAAGAATATGTAAAACATGTTTTTATCATGGATTCAAAGCCAAACGTAGGGAGAGGCATTCACCTCGACTTTTCCGTTCCTCTGAAAAATATAGTTAGGTTAAAGGCTCGGCACATTTCCAAATCATAAAAAAAAAATTATCCAATATTAGAATTGCATGATAACCATTAATGCAGTAGGCTAGTTTTGTTGATAAATCTCGTGAATTTAATTACATGACGACCTAGTATCCGATGTTCTGTATTTGGTGAGAATTTATATTTGTTCTTAACATATAAATTTATAAAGAAGATAACGGAAAAACAATTTAGGGTTTAACGGAGGATATTTTAGGGTTTGATCCTTCCTTTGTATTTTTTAAATGTCAATTAATTTTACTCTTCGAAATGTTAATGTAATTGCACATTATGTAAGATTAATGTAAACTTATTTCTTATAAAAAATAAAATAAAATTCAAATTTAAATAGGATTTTTTTTTCAAGCGTACAAATATTGGTCTCAGACTATAATTTGGGTTGTACGAAAAGTTAGGTACAATTTTAAATTCGCGATTTTGATTTAATTTTGAACTTTTTATATCTATCTGAATATATATATATATATATATATAATATTATATAATGACAGTATATATATATAGTTATATAGAGACAAATAGAAAAGATTCAATAATTAAAAAACCCAATGCATACAAAATCCAGTAAGAGTAAAAGATCGGGTATAGGTATTGAATTTAATTATTTAACAAACGCGATAAAATTCATATATTCTGTATCAATAAAATAATACGATAGATAAATATTAGAATCGTGTTCTCTCATTTTTTATAATTTGCATATTTATTTTTTTAGTTTGGTTGTGGATATATCTTGATTTTTTTTCCGAATATTTGAAACTCGAATATAATCTTTTTTTATAAAAAAAATATGTGTGTTTGTTTTTTCATCAAGGATAAAAATAAAATCATAAAAGTGTGATTATTATAACTATTTATATCACCCCGCAAAAAATGAGAAAACCCTGTATCCGAATCTACATGGTCAAATATGAATATTAAAATCGAGGATATACTCAAATATTTTTTAAAAAAAATTTATAACCGAATGTTTTAAACCAAGACTCAAACTAATTTTAAGATTGGAGAA